ATTACGGCTCCTTATGGTCTTGTGGAATGTCATGGACTAATGGTATTGATGCTCATTTACAGTGTAATGTACCTCATTAAATCGTGTTCAGAATGCTGAATTGGTTTCACTTCCTATCACAAGCAAATTGGAAATTTCTATAAAAATGAAGCCTTCTCAAGACCCTATAAAATCTACAAAAATGGGCCGAAATAGCTTCGAGAAAAAAGAGAAAGCCATTTATGTATCAGAATACTGTTTTCGGCACTATATTTTATAACTGCACATAATCCCATACTTTCAGCTTCTTCCTGAACCACATCCATTTATACAGTTCTTTATCCATCAATGCCTTGTTTTCACTATTTTCTCTAACATATTAGGATACCCGTGCTTCATGTAACGAACTGTTACTTGAGAATAAATTGTTATAATTATTACTACTACGGATTCGTATTAGGTCACGCCTATCCGTGTTTGTTGTATGTTTGCTCAGAGCGTATAAAATGTGCATCAGTCGAACTAAAAATGGGAAGCATATGACTCCAACGAAAGGAACCGTATTAATTCCCAACAGTATATCCAAACTGACAAAAAAGAATCAACACGCGGATATGAGAGCCAAAACGTCAGCTCAAAGACCAATGCAATTGCTGATTGTTGTTAATACCGCAGTATCCGGTAATAAAAAGTGACAGTGGGTGGGTTTTGGGCAGGGAAATGACAACATTATAGCTCTCAAAAGTATGAAGATGAGGGACAAAGACGATTGACAAAACTCCCTGATTTCACTTTGCCTTCCAGTTACGGAGAGTAGGTAATCAGAAAAGAGGGCAGCGAGTGAATAAAAGGTGGGTAAATACTGGACAATGCTGAAATATCCTACTACTCTGGCCAAAACATTCCATCCCTATAAATGACAAAGAGTAGCATAAGACAGACTCACTCCACTGAGTGTAATTTTAGGCTAGCACACGATTCAGAAGAAAACTCACGGACATTTTTGAGACTATCCGTAACGTGATTCTCTCAAATGCAAGTTAGACACGTGGAACTGTGGGTTGTCAAGGATCTCGCTAGATCGTCAATCATACAAGAATTAAACAGTGAAGCGGTTTAAAGAGCACCTAAACAAGTGGTTGGTATTTGTGATAAAGTTCGCGAATACGATATGCAACAGCAGCGTTAGCCATCACGTAGCACATGTCTTCACACCACTGCTATAATTGGCGTGTCCGTACTACCTCGTTTGTTACACCACACGGCCACTGAGTCTTGTACTTGATTCCTGTGAACTACAGAAACCAAGGAAGCCTAACTGAAGTAATTCAGACATTGTACAGCATGAAAAATACCCTCCGCAGTAACACCATATATTGTGAGAACCAATCTATATCGGTAGGGCGAAGGCAGAAATGCCCAGTAAAATACGCTATATCGGTTCACTTTAATCAACATATCACAGTGCATCGCACGAAGGCCACGGCCCGCTAGAGGAACACTCTATACAGATACGAAACCTACAGCGACCAGTCCCTACGGAACTGGCCAGCCCTGTTTAGACAACGATCTCTTCAAATAGCAGAAGGCAGATTCTGATGTAGGAGAGAACGAAGTGATGAGACAAACTATCATGTGCCTATACGGCAGCGTAAGAGAACCAGGGGTAAACTAAAGGAAATCAAAAACACGTGCTTTCAGTTAGACCCGAAGATCGTAGTCCCCACTGAAAAGTGGCTATCGCATGAAACTTCTCCGAGTAGATAGAGTACGCAAAATAGTGGATGGAGTGGCAATATACATTAACAGTCATATCAAAGACGTACCTCCACACAGAATCAAATTGACCAACGTGACAGAATCGTGCTCTTAGCTCTTCCATTTGAACTCTACAAAGTACTTAATTAAAGAAACATACCGACAACTCACATGTTATAACACCCGGAACGATATCACAACATCCACACCCGACGGTTGACTAAAACACTACTGGTACGTGACGTCACTGCTGAAATCACAGCAAGCAGGAGACGACATTTTCATGGTGGTTCTGCTAGCGTCCTGCCACATACGTTAAGTTTAATGATTGTCCGAGTATGTTGGTGGTTCCTTGAGTTGGGGTATGAACGAAAAGTCCTCAAGCTCAGGTTGCTTGCCGATAGATGATCAGCTTCTATCTATCTGCCGTGTCCACACATCAATAAGAAGTAGTAACCACGGTACAGATATGTCTATCGTGGTCTCAAACGAAATGCTTCGGGACGGAGGAAAGGGGTTAATTCTTATCCCAGCTATACCAGGGCAGACTACACGACCATGAGGGAGGATCTTTAACGTCTACATGACCACAAGAGTGATGGAGGTTAACAGTAGATGGCCACTTAAAGATAATGAGGGACATTATTCAGAATGCTATTCTACCCAATGGATCCGAGGTAAAACACACATAGAAAGCTCAGATACTGAGTCAAACGAGGCACGGGATGCTTGCTTGAGACCAAAAAGAGAGCCTGGCATAAGTGGAGAGTCTTCCCGGGTGACTCTGATTGTAGGTCGTACTTGGCATTGAGAAACGGATGCACCGTAAAGTTCCGAGTCGGTGAGGGATGCTTTCAGGCTAAGTCACCGACCAAATAAATGTTAATCTTGAATGTCCACACATATCCATGACTAGCTTTATGTTATTGATGTATTTGTAAAAACAGTATATGAAGAAATTCCGTAAGTTTCCCATAATTTATTCTTCTTTGGATATAATACCTTCCTTTTTTGAGGCGTTAGGCGTAATGAAGACCATGTACATTTATTTTTAACCGATTTGTTATCCGCCGGATGCGCTGAGACTACTTTGGAGGTGTTGTTTTTTCCTTCTGTACTTGAGTTTTTAGTTCCATTATACAACTCGGTTCATTTTTTTAGTGGTATATCCGGCTTTAAATCACTCTCAGTCTGCCCCTCTTGTCTGATGGGCCGTAGTTGGTTCTCATTTCCTACCCATCTTTTCCTCTGACTTTTACTTTACGAATGACTTTTCCTCCTCTACAGACTATAGTTTCAATCTTCCTTGTTAGTTTTACTCCATGGAAATCTCATACTATTGCCGTTTACCCCATACTGAACTTCCGGTTAGTGTACCATGCCGCTTTTTGAATTGTTGTTTAGTCCGTTTATTCTTAAATAGACTGATTCTAGGTTTTGATTCCATCCTTTCTAATGGTATTCTAATTTTCCTTCCAAACATAGCTTCTGCTGGGCTTTCTTGATCATTCGTATTCATATTATTCATATTCATATATATTGCTGGGTTTGACTTCACGCGTTCACATTCGACGTTAGACACCATAGTATCCGTTATCTGCTGGAAAATTGCTGGAGTTGGCTTATCACCAAACGGTAATCGGTCAAATCGATAGAGTCCACGGTGGGTATTCATTGTTTATAACCCCTTTGAATGTTTGTCAACTTCCACTTGTAAGTGGAATTCAAACAAATGAAGTTTAGCAAAACAGCACACACCGCATAATTCAACAAATAAATCCTATGGCATAGGTAGTGGATATGAATTATTTTGTAAAACATCGTTTTATCCTGTTGAAAAATCTGCACAAAAGCGAATAGCTCCGTTCGTTTTCTGAACTACTTCAATTGATGCTGTCCGTGCTGAAGTTGCATAACACCGAGCTTTTCTAGTCGGTCTAATTCTCTGTCAACTTTGTCAACAGCTGCATATGGGATAAGATGTCTTGTTTGAAGAACAAGTTTCACGTCATCTCATCAGTATAATTTTGCCTATACGATTGTGCAACATCCTAACTTATTCTGGAGCAAGTTTGTATGTTTCCATAAAAGGTTTTCTATCTTTATGGCTTTCTTAGCCACATAAACGAAAAGCAAATCTGAAGGACTATTTGAGCATTTCATCTCACATATTTCGCTCAGTGGTACATCCCGTAAATTTAGTTTGTCTATCCAATCTATACCAATAAGTTCCAAGTAATGTATGTTCGTCGAATAACAATTTATTGGGAAGTAATTGTCTCGGAATTCAGTAGAGTATTTTATTATTCCAACAATCTGTAATATGTCTCCGGATGCAGGGACCTGACAAATACGTACTTGCCCTTGGATTACCATCTCCCTCTTGAACTAGCTGTGCCTGATGGATTCCTTACGGTAGTTATCATTAACAACCGCTTTCTATCTCAATTACTGCCACCTGCGTGTTTCTACTTGTTCTTTCAATTTGGTCTTTTCACTCTGTCTGAAATACAAATTAATTAAGTCATTTACTTCTTGAATCTTTTTGCATTCGAATAATCGCTTTACTATTCTTCACATTATGACCAACTAGCCCCCGAACTGGTAATACAATAGCTTCTGTTATCTGAAACCTCACTCGTTAGTTTGAATTTAAAAATACACAAATCTACAAACAACTACCAAACTCATCAGAATTACTGCAATAGAGTGGCTAGGATGCCATACGTTGGACGTTACGAAATACCTCTAACTGTACTAGAACGACGAGGGGGGAGCTCAGAGAAATTAATCAGCTTATGAGAAATCGCGACAGAGATATCAGAGAGATAAACGTGCTGAAACTCAACAAACCAAACCCCATTATTTGTAATTTACTTTACGTATCGATGTGATAACATAAAGACATATTAAACTGGATTTACTCCAAATATTTATATACATGCTATTTTTGTGGATTTAAGATTACTTTCCATTCGCTATTCTTATGATGTACTGGGTAAACATCTTGATCATATATTTGGTCACATAATTATAGATATAGTATTAGGGGTATTACAGTAATTTTTCCAGATAGGTGGAACTCGATTATTCTGCTAAATTAAAGATGGATGAAGGACAAATTTTCGCTGAAAACAATCTAAGCCAGTTAGAAACTAATGTTTCGTGCACAACCATTTGAACCTATTAGTTTGGCGTTGCTAATGGGCCCGAAAGAGCGTGTTTCAAACTTGAAGGTCGTTTTTGTATGCAGACTGTGAAGAATGCCGCTACCTAACCTAGATTCTTTGAAAAACATCGCCGTCGGAAAAGATAACGCAAATAAACAACAAGTATACAATCATATTCATTTCTAAAATCATTAGATTGTGCATATTTTGAAGGGAATCACGGATCAGGAAGTCCCACCAAAGCAAAAACATATTCGTGGAATTATTTTAGCTACATTTAGTGGAAAGTCTTCGTCGTTTTTTTATGAGACTGCACTTAAACTCGCCATATACACCAATCCTGTAGTCTGCTGGAAGTTTCTATATGTTATCCATAAATTGTTCCGAGATGGGCACCGTGAGGTATTGTATAACAATACAACCGATTAATGCATTTATACCATATTTTAGTGCGTAAGTGACGGACTACGTCACGCAACCAGAGTTTCCCAGTTGCAGTCTGCCTGGGTAAATTTTAGCTAATAAGTCTAGTATAATTTAGAGTAATCACGCGACAAAGTGTGGATATCCGATCGTAGACTTTTGTCAACTGATAACCCGGAAAATCAGCCTACACAGAAAAGTAACCGTGTAAATTTATTCGATCAAGATATTTTAGTATGGAGTATTACCTGGAAGTCTGGAGCTAACTCCCAGTGAGCTGAAGAGTTGTCTTTCTGCACAAGTAGACCACCTGTAAGTCATTTTAGTACTAAACTTATTTTTTCCACTAATAAATTACCCTCATGGCAGAAAACGGCTCATATCTAAGTAGCTCTTGAACTAATGTTTTATGATTATAATCATAAAATGTAAGTCATTACAATGACCTAACTAAGAATGTAATTTGGTCAAGATACCAGGTTTCGTGTTATACAACCATTTTTTTTTACCTGGAAGCTTGTTTTTACAACAACCTCATAAGAGCGAGCCATACCTTTCCAAATATTTTTTTCGTGGTACCTGATTGTTGAAGATGTTCCAGATATTCTAACAACCTAATCTTTTCCATTACTACTCATACTGTTACCACTCTTACTTTCCTGGGATTTGTCTTGCTGTGGTAATGTGAAATGGAAACTTGGGTGGATGCACATGTGGCAGGTTTTACCCTTCATTTAACTGGCTGACTGATTCATTTTGATAGCTTAAGCCAGTAACTACAGAATTTTATTCAAGTAAGAATATGTACCCGACCATGTAACATCTCAACGTAGTGTTAAAGGTCAAGTATAGTTTTAGGCTTTAAAAGTGTGTAACGAATAATGCTCTGGATATATCTGAATATTTAGTCTTCTTTCCTGTGAAAAAAGGACTGAGAAGAAAAAGGGTTTTATTGATAACTCAAAAACTTATTCAATTTGTCTTTAAGCCTAGTTTCTAAACCGTTCCGACGTTCAGCGGAAAATCTTGGAAACTTCCAACATACTTGTGTCTATATTTAAGACTGGAAAGAGTCCAAAATAACTTTGTTCATGTTTTTAGTGTAGGTTTTTAGCCTGTTAGTTTTTAACATACAAAGATTGATTCTCAAAACCTCTAGGGCGTCAGTCAGAAGGATTACGATTCTCTGTGCTAACCTAAAGAGATTTTCCCGTTGATTGACATCATGTCGCAGTTTCTGTGAAGCTTTCTTTACTATTTTCCCCTATGTAGCCATTCCTACTAGATGTGGAGCGGCTTAGCATCCATATCTTATGTAACAGCTACAAACCATAAGATAAAAGTATTTAATACCAAACTTGTAGTTTGTTCTGCATTCAAACTCACTTATGTAACCTTTGACTTGATTTTCAAACAACTTAGTATTTTGGGAGTCTAGTGGTAGTTGAGGATTAAAAAAATAATTTAACTGATTTTACTGAACCCGATATTTATCCGGTGATATACCTCAAAGCTATCAGTTGTCTAATAAAACTTTCTGGCTAGTACTTAGTAGTAAGGACATACACCACATCAGAAGATCCGATTGTTGTTTTATCAGTTTGGTTCTACCTGAAATGATGACCGCTTAAAGTTCCACTTTTACTAATATATAAGTATGTAGATAAACATCTTACGGTTTGTTTCGTTTTTGTTATCAGGATTCAGGGTTTCATGAATAAAGTTACTGTGTTCCTTTTCTTAAGATTTCAATTTAGTGTCGATCTCATGGATATGCTAGAAGAAACATTGCGCTTCAAAGATGTTGTGCTCCTTTCTTTGGAGGGTATTCAAGCCGCTTCATTCACTCCCTCTGGTCAATGTAAACTTATTCCACTCATTCAATGTATTCAAGATGCTGCAGCACTCTATGAACTAAGCGTACAAGTCATCTTTAAGTTACATGAGTTATTAGGCAATGGAACAATGTCAGGTCACAGAGAACGCTTTAGAGATCTCCATATTTCTGTCAAGAAATTTTTTGAAAATGTATCCCACATGCAATATTTCCGTTCATTTGTTCACATACCTTCAATATCCCAGGTTTGTTATTGACATTTAGTTGTCAAAACGTATTTCATTACTTAGGCGTTTGTTTGTACTACTTTGCATTTTAATTTGTCAAAATGCTAACCCCTTTGTTATTGATATTAATGGTAGCATTAACCAAAATCTTAAGTGACCGATAACATAAAAGGTTTGAGTTTCGGACTTCACTAACTTGTTTAATATTGGTGGGTGTTTTTACAATTTTTTTGAGCATTATTACTGAAGTTTCCTTTAATTTACTTTTTTTCTAATTTTCAATTAAATAAATCTTCATAATCTTTTTCGCAAGCACGAAATGGAGGTGTCAGTCGATCATTTTACTAGTAATGGGTCCAACCATGACATATTTTTGTTGAACTGTTTAGTATAATATATTGTTACGTAAAAAGATTTCATTTTTAAAAAAATATAGTATAAACGTTGGTCTCTTTTGGAGTTAGTGACACTATTCATCCAGTTTTATAATGGGACTAACATCGAAAAAATGTGAAACCCAATACGACAGTGCACACTATCAGCCTTTACTTCAGTACGCCATAGTAAAGGTAATTCAAGAATGTCGAGGAAAAGGTCTGATAGAAGATACGATCCGAAATATATAGATATTCAGAAATAAGTTATTCTCTGTTTGCACCTCAACAAGAGGTTAATACCGTTTTTTCAACCTTTAATGGTGCTTCTTTTCATCAACACCCACTTTCTACATTGTAAAGCTCCAGGCTAGATGGCTTCATTAATTGGTTCAACTATGTACAAGAAATGCTTCAGAGACACGGGTAATCAAGTGCGTGTGGTCTTTTTAGGGAATTTGTTTTTGGTGGCTTATTCTGATAGTTTTCTAATTTAAGTGAACTGAGTACTATATTCTATGCTTGCTATGTAGTGTTGGGAATTTCACTTTAAAAACCTAATGTGGCATTCAGTTCAACTGATTTAATAAAATTGTCCTACCAGTCTGAACTGACTAAAATATTCGGCACATAGGGTCCGACGTTTTTTTATAAATTCTATGAGGGATTTGGCTTTCATACACTCTATAACTTACCTTATTTGTCGTTCTAGGCGGTAAACTGTTACACCTGACGTACATTAATGTTAGTCTACCACGTATATAAGCCTTTTTATGCCTTATAAATTTCAGTTGATGAGAGTTCATCGATCACTCATGGATAACGTACGGTCTGGCACAAGTATGTATTGATTCAAGTGTACACACTTCATTTCTGGATGGCTAGAGAGGAAATAAACTAGGCAAAAGATAAAAAAATGAAATTAGTTTCAGATGAAGCAAAAAACCGAAAATGGCTAGTAAATTTCGAAAAGATTGGATGGAATCGAAGAACTCAAGATATTGTTTGATGTTGGAAACCAAGATTCAGAGGGAGAAAAAAGACCAATACATATTCTCCACCGGAATTTTTTTCGGTGATTTCATTTCAGGTCTCCTTGTATAGATTACAATCGTCACAAAAATAAGAATGTCTAAATCTCCCTACACGCCCCAGACTTAAGGTCAATAACTTGATGGACTAGTACCGAGCCTTGGTGAATCTTCCAACTTATGTTTTTGGACAGAGTGATAAGTAAGAAAATTAAAGAAGTAGTTTTGATTGGATACTTAACTGTCAGGGATGTAACAAAGCTACGAAATAGACACTGACTATTCAACACACAAATGAAGCTTACGGTTTAATAAAAATGCCGAACTTTGCGAACAGTTAGGTTTAGTAAAAGGCATTCAGGATTCTAGGTTAACTTTGGTTTTTTAGTCAACATAAGACTTTCTACTAACAGCAGACTATTTATATACCTTATAGTTTTCTTATCTGCCTGCTGTATTTAGTGATTTATCATAGTTTGTGGTTTAATAATTTAAATTTATGAATGAGTGCTTCATAAATGAGTCATTTTCATACAAACATTTTATAGTAAGTCTTATTGGTTTTGTTATCATATAACAGGAAACTCGTGACTTTTAGACCATAAAGTATGACCGAATTTATGTAGCGGGACTTCATTGCTTGCATATAAATTAGCTATGGGTGGTTGAAGTCGTTGTGAGATGTAAGAAATACCATTTATTCAGCTATACTTGAAAACATTAATAATAGAAACGCCTCTTATAATTAACGCATAAAGAGTGGTGAAACATCAAAGTGAATATAATACCAAATTATATGATGAAAGGTGAAGATTTGTGGCAAGATGTGGATTAAAATGTATTTGAACCTGTTTCACTAATAAAAGTTTCTACTCAGTTTTTTAAAAATTCATAACCATCGATTTTTGTTTTTTTCTAAAATTCAATCAAGAGTTCTAGGATTCTTCATATGGCTACACATATATCTCATAACTACTGTAAGTTATCATATGAGTAATAACTTACTCTCTTCTCTTCTGTTGCTCTTATTTACTTCAACCAATATTTTATGTCAACCTTATTGATTTACTTTATTCTTATTCTTCTATTACAATTATTCGGTATTCTTGCTTGGCACTTTTTTAATCCATGTACATATATATTTGTTTTTATGTTTGTCTATAGAATCCGCCGAATTTTTGTGTTCAGTCAGAACTGAGTGAACATACTACACTTAGAGTTACGATGAATGAATCACAATCATTATCTCCACCACTGCCACCATCTTCACTGTTGTCATCGACGGCAGTACTAGTGGATGAACGGAACAATCCACATTCAGGTGATGAAGAAGATTCTTGTGAATTAACCATTGTACCTAAAGTTATGTCACAAATTCGTCCAACTAAATTATCAACTGAAAAACAGACATTAATTAAATTAGGTTCTGAAAATGCAGATATAAATGAGAAGACGGTTATGTTGTCAAAAGAAGTGAAAATGGTGAGAAATTCTTATTTTGTAAAACAAGAACAACAAACATTAATGGGTAAATAAATTTATTTATGTAAATCAGTTGGTATGCGGAAAATTTGTAGCTTTCTAAATGAAATGAATTCACTTCATCCTGAAATGTTTGTTGTTCCTGTTTAACAAGAGTTTTATTTATTATCTGAAAATTTTCATTCATATTTTCCAAAATTAACCATTTTATATTTGACCGTAACCACAATGGTGCTAATTTATTTCTTACTAACTTGCTCATAAACTGCCACACGAAAAAGAATGATGATGAGAATGTGACATTTACTGTTAATTTGACTATTTTTTGTATTCTCTCTTTTGTACATGATGTCGATTTCTGTTCTAAAATAAATGAAAATCAGAGAGCTCTACACAACCGTTGTGCTTCAATCTAATGTTCTGAAGTACTACTTTATTGAATGCTTTTCTTTTATCAACTATGGTGCTTTCAGGTTCTGTAGTGTATACATTAGTACCAAACTATTGTATTTTAGTCTAAAACTCGGTATCTTCTAATTTTTATTATTTTATGGGAAAATCATTCGTTTGATTACGGATATAGCTTTCAGTTATTGATTCATTGCTTTGTATATTCTATTACTTAGTTTAGTCATTCTAATCACTTCGCTTCATTAGCTATTGTATAACATGTGTATCTAGTGATAGAATACCTCAATTTAAACTGAATTAGTGTGTGGATCGTATTATATTGTCCTTCATTGCTACTGGTACGGGTTTGTCCTTATCACTAAAAGTGGTCACTAATCTAGTTTTTAGTAAGGCATTCAGAAGTAATTTGATATGTAAATTCATAGGTGGGCCCACTGTTCATTACTTTCAAAGCATGTACTAGTGGTAATCCATACCATTGCCTTAATTAATGGACCATTTATCTAGGTTTCATCGAATTATCTAATCTTTCATTATTGTTTACAGTACTCATTTAAACTTAGTTGGTTCAAAATGTTATAAAAATAATCTAAGTCATCTTGAGTAAAATGTTCTCTGGCTGGTGGATAATAAATTGGAATACACGTAGTAGCTCTACGGCACCTTATGATTTAAAAAGTTACTAAAATGTAGAAAATGCACGACTTTTCTTTACGATTTGTAGACTTTTTAGCTTCACGCACAAAGCATAATTTCAGATAAACTTCCTTAATTGATTAAATGAATGAAAAAATTATCATGCAGTTTACCAATCGGTGTTAGATAACAGAATTTTCATTGTCTATTGTTAACAACTACAATTGTTAGTTTTCATTTGAACCAAGGATGTAACCATTCAGTTCATTTTTTGCTTTTGTTATGTTATTGGCTGTAAATTTACAACAAAAGATTGATTTTACGTTCAAAAATAACTCATCCGTTGATTTCTTTACGAACTGGGGGACCATGAAATTATACCGAAAGTGTAGTGAATCCTTAGCATAAAAGATGGTAGTTATCAGTATTTATTGACGAATAACTGATGTTTAACTTGGTTATTTGTATATAATTTGTTGGAATGAGATGTCTGATCTTGAAGTAATTTACGTCATGGACTAATTTTAACTAGGTGACCATGAAAAACCAGACAATACTGGACAGCTACTTCGTCCTGATACCGATCTTACCAAAAGTAAGCTTCAGCTATTAAACGACAGAGCCCGCAGTTCACGCGTTTCCTCTAGATCACTGAGGTAGAATCCACTGTCTTATAATTCTAGTGCCAATCAATTTACGACAGACTACGATCCTTAGTCAGCGTCACCAGTGAGTGAATTCTAAGGAGTCCCATACTACAAAAAATAGCCATCTATTACTTCTTGGTTTTCAGTAATTTCCCAACTAAGTTTGACTTGATAGCTAAACTACATACAACTTATAATTTTAATGAATTTTTACTTTTATATTAACGTTCAGGATCCAAGTGTCAATGATAAACATCACCATATTAATAATAATAATGGTAGTACTATTGGTAATAATAATTTGAAAATGAATTGGAACCCATTTTTGGATAATTCAATTCAAACAAATAACCATGTACTGTCACCTTATCATACTCATGTAACGGATGAAAAGTAAGTGAATAGTATCTTTTTTTCTTTCGAAATAATTAATTGATTTCACAAATTTCCTTTTAATTTACAGAAAATAATTTTAATGAATCCATAATAACAATTAAGGCAGAATACCATTAATTTGTTTTATTTCGTGGTTTCGTCTCAGCTGCCTACACCTCTATTGGTGTTAAAATGTAGCATTGAACTGTATTACGATATGAAATTATGGATACTGGTGACAGAAAGAATTAAAACAATGATTGTCTGTTATATATATGAATAAACATGTGTGAGGTCATTTTAACATGGAACTAAAAAAATAGAGATGAGGTAGTATGTAGAATCTGGAGACCAAAAAATGAATTGTGTAGTAATTATAGAAGATTTTAACAGTTGACATAAGCTTTGAGAATTAGATTGGTGAAAGATGCAGATATGAATGAAAAGATAAATTTAGCATAAATGAAGTAGTACTTAGCTTACTGAAGATTGGATATCAAAATAAATGATAATAATAATGATAATAATTAATGGTAGTTTTAATCAAAAACATGAATTTACCGAGACAAGTATAAATTAATAACTATCTTTTTCTAGACAGATAAATACAGTTTGAAATTTTTAATTGATACTATTTAGGCGAAACGTAAAGAAATGGGATCATTTTAAAGGATTGAGAAACGTCAATTATATGCCTGTTGTCAACTAAGTGCCTATTTGTTGCATCTTTTAGTCTCCAACTATATAAAGCCTACTTGGAAATGCGAACATGTGTTCTTCTCTCTGTTCTTCCAACGTATGTGGTTTAAGACGTATATGCTAACTAACAAATACAGTTGAAGGAACTGAGAAAAGAGAACTTGTTGGTTTACTCATGTTTTAGGGAGGAGTTGATTTCACATGAGGTAGTTAGCCTTGCTGGTGTATAAGTAATCCTCATTGTAGCATCAGTTATTCAAATAATTTCCTCTTTTATGCGAAGATGTACAGAGCAAATTCTGTTTTCTGTTGTATCATGATTAGCACGTTCGTTAGTTGCAGCATGCTTCTCGACGGATTTCTGTGAGTATGAATTTTAATGTCAACTGTTGTTAATGGCTGTGAACTCTTCTTCTAGTCTTTCGTTGGCTCATGGTTTATGAATACAGTCAAAAAGGGTCCGTACTTTCTTTCCTTTATGACTTGTTGAACTAAAGCTGTTATGCTTAATATAAACTTCGCTCCATGTGCTTTTCTGATAGGTGAAGCTATATGAATCATTCTCACTTGAACTTCTTTAAATTTCAATTCCTAAGAAATGGATTTTTCCTTTATCCTTATACTCCATTGTAAATTCTATTTCCTGGTGTGGTTTGTCAGGAGGATTAAAATAGGCGTGTAGCATGCTTCAGATCATTACAAACAAGAAATGTTTCATCAAATAATTTTGTCGAGCAACCACAGGAAACCATTTCCTGATCAGATACGCTAATGCACTTAGTTATAACCGCTAACCTAATCATTCACTGATCACACTAAACCTGTTTGGGTTTATTATTGTTTCCAAATTCATTTGCAGAAAGTAACGAATCACTTATGATTTTTTGGAAGTTAGTTCTTGATCAGTGGACGCGTTTCAGGTTTCACCTTTTCACTGGGTTATATCATTTATTTGTAGAACATTAAGTGTAACTGGGGGCGTGGATTTATTTATGATGTTGCACTTATTCCTAGTTTATTTTGTGATCTCTCTAGATTATTTGGTATAGACTTGTTAAGGTATACGTGAGTGATTCACATCTAGGTCAAACCATGAACTACATCTGTTGTGTTGAGTAGGCGATAACATTTGGCTACTTTAGCCTAAATAGGTAAAAGGGGAAGTTCAAACCTGTGTTCTACTGATTAGCAGTCAAATACATAAACCAGTGAATTTCAGTTTCACATGTTTTTACTGAATACTTAATTATATATCTCATCACATCTCATGTTTTACCCTGATGCTGAGATAAATTGTTCGCAACTTTTTTGTAAGTTCACATAATGTGCAAGCGTTTTTGGTTTAGTAGTTATTATTCGTCTGTGTATTAGTAAATCAATTTTAAAAAAGTATGTTGTGTACACAAATAATATGATATTTTAGTTGAGTGTCTTACATATAAGCAACATGTTAATATTTTCTTCTTAAATATACAGCTGTTACACGATTATAACAGTAATTAAAGCGATTGACTGAACATCAGTTAACTTAGTTACTTACAACAGTTTCTTGTTTATTAAACTCTCACATATTTTAGAATCAGCTGTTTGACGACTACTAATTTCAATAAAAAAAACGAATAAAATTATTTAAAATAAGTATGAGAGTAGTCTTTATCTTTGTATGTGGTAAATTTATAGTGATATTATGACTTAGTTACAAAAGTGAAATTAAAATAACTGTATTAGTTATCAATATATAAATAAGATGTGCTCTATTAGATACGTAATCACTAACTACTTGAATGTACAATATTTACAATAATCGAACATTGTATTATTATCTAAATTTAACTTGAAGTTACTCTAGCCGATAAAATTTTATACCAGTTATTGAAATACTGAGTCAAATAAAATGTAAACAAAAAAAACACATTAATAAATTATCGTCCTAACTCTTATATAATTTAAATTTTTATTTTTCAATTAATATACTTCCGATTTCTTTGAATTGTTTTAGAAAACAATGTGTACATAGATATTACATTTCAGTTGTCAAAATATCAAGGACTTGTTGTGAATCATATTCTGTACATTTTGTGATGGAAGCTTTTTACTGCGTATATATATATATATATATATATATATATATATATATATATATATATATATATATATATATATATATATATATATATATATATATATATATGGATGCCAATGATGAGTTGGACGTTATATAATAGAGTGTTCATATTTAATGAAATGGTTAAAACTGTTGACTGATAAATATCGTATTGTTTAGGTAGTGTAGTAGTATGATTATTCTTATGACTGAAAGTGGGACTCAAAACCTCATGCTGCAACATTTAATTGATTACTGAGTAATAATAATTCATATCGAATAATTAAATCGTTTGGAATGAAAGGAGAATTTTATTTAACATCTACCCATCAATTAATAACTTTGTAGAGTTAAGGATATTGAAATGAATAAGATGTTTTAGTGCTCTTGATAATGAAATAATTACAAGCTTGTTCTATTAATTACAATATTGTCATCGCTGAAGTCGATAACTATATTGTGGTGCGTGCTACTTGTATTGATATATGTAGTATATTATACGAGTCAGGAATGTAATGTCTGGCAGCAGAAGATGAGGGAAGATCAAGAAAACAAGAGCGGTAATAGAATGCAAATGAAATGTAAGAACAATGAAGTCTGAGGCATTTTGAGACAACTGGTGGACATTTTGCAAATTAACGATTTGATATATAGTTCTCAGATTTTATTGAGATGCTCTGTAATTTCGTGTCAAATACATTCGATTGCCACCACTCGTGTTCTGTTCACTACAATATGACCAATCAGTTGGTTTACATGGCTAGTTCACTTTCCATTTCATTTCTCACTTGGTGTGATGATATTATATATCGCTATGAAACATTTTGAACCGTACGGTTATTATACTTGACAACTAGTAAAAAACCATTGTATTGTTCAATTACAGTCCTGTACATCAATGGGAAGGTTCAAATAAACAATGCAATTTAAAAACGGTTCACATCAAGGACTGAATTTGTCCGGTTAATCATTATAAACCAGCAAACACTGGGACATCGTTTTGTCCTATCACGGAACGTTTGAGCCAGTGCTCGTGTACGCTCCTAGACCGAAAACCTGACTTCGTGGCTATAATATAACCTTTAGATCACTGCGTTGTTATCTAGTAGTTCAAATATTATGCTTCAGTTTATTCGTGATATAAGACAACCTCTACAGATCAGTCATAAACAACGTACAGCTTATCACAAATATGCATTGGTTCAAACTGTCATATTATTTTAGCACGATGAGGTGAAATTAACAGAATGAATAGCAGACTAATTAAAATGATGTGATAGCAGTGATATGAGAAAGGGTAGACGTTGGTAGTGTTGCTCGGTATGACAGAGTTTAAAAGTTTGTACGAAGTAATATTGGAAATTAAGTTTTAGAATACGACAAAGATTAAATGCACCTACACAACAATGACCATCTACTTTTCACTATAACCTCGAAAAGAATTCTTGAAGTGAATCGATAGTGAGCATAAGAGCATTGTCGGTATTAGGATGACAAGTTTGTAGATGTCGTTCAGTTCAATGCTAAACTTTATATACTGAAAAGTGTTAACTTCAACACAGTTATTCGTAAACTGTTAATTTATTTTTAGTTTTTAAATATATTTCAATCCGAGTTCGAGTATTAGTGCTTTTTTTGATTCTCCAACTCTTGAGTGGTTCACATTTTTTACCTCTGTTAGTATTGTAAATCTAAAACCTATGTACTTCATTATTTAATAAGCTTCGGAAAATCCCATTCCATCCATTTGTAGCTTGCTTGAGGGGTCAAATACTTTAATTGTATATGTATATTTCATAGATTATGAAGTCGACACAAAAACTTTCTCTGGTGATCATAACAAATACAAGCAGATATGGATTGGGCTAATATTTCAGGTTGATTAATTTAAACATTCCCACCTGTTTGCTTGATTGAACCAGGTTTTGCCTACTTAGAAGCCGAAAAGTGGTTATTTAAATCTCTATATGGGTTATACTTGAGTACTCGGCAAATTAAGTGAAGTGTTGAGTTTGTATCGAATCTTCAGTAGCTGTCTGTTTGGTGTTTCAAAGGCCACGATCAGATTAGTAACTTACGTACGCCTGTTACCTCTAGGGTGAGCATAAACCGTTGACTAGGTTTCTTCAATCAACTATATTATGGGCTCTCCTTTCTAGTTGTTTCCAAGCGCTACATTATGCTAGATTTTAATTCTTGTTTTATACTAAACTACGGATTTGTTAATGTTTCACAAGACATGCTTGAATTATTTTCGAACAAGAAACTTCTTTCACCATTTCCTTATTTAGAAGGTATATGGGAAAATCGATGATTTTAGGTCAATAAAATAGTCTTAGCATATTCAGATGTCATGTATTGTCTGTAGGTTCTTAGATGATCAGTATTTATAGTTCATTGCTCAATAGTAACGACAACGATTAGTCAGTATATGTTAACTTTTAGGACCACTGTGTCATGTTGAAGATTTTAACTTTTGATAGCTATCAAAGTTTGTGGAATATTTTTGAATTGTATTAAGAAGTGTACAGCTGTGTGTTAAGTTAAAATATACACATGCTTCATCGCTGGGATATTTTTGTGTACCATTATCGTACATCAAAACCGATCAAGTCAATAGCAATGAAGGAAAATTTAAACACTCAATGATAGTTAATTGAAAGCCATGTTTAAAAATAGATCTTTATACCAGTAATTTTGAGGAATAGTGAATTACTTGGTAGCAGGCACAGTAAGCTACTCTTAAAAATCATGTCATTTGATGATACTAAAAAACAAGAAAACCAAAATCGTGCAATCTTGTATGCACTAAGGACTGATCAACGTTTGAAGCTTTTTTTTCACAAGAAAAATTGTCGCTATATAAACTCATTTTTCTTGACAACTAAAGAACATATGCTCAAATAAAATGATTTAAAAAAGGAGCATTGATGAAAATTTTGGAATAAATCTAAGATCTTACCTTGACAAATAACCCTGAATTGTACTGTGGTGAATAATCCCCATTATTATCGATATTTCTACTATTTGTTTACATTTCTTATAACGATCTATTTATTAGCTAATAGTTTCATGAATTTCCACCAGATTTTGATTCAATCAAAATCAAATACTTTGATTTCTTTATTTAGTATAGTTATTAAAGACTTTTAAGGTGTTCACTTGATAAAAATAAACAGAATATTACCCTAAATAATAATCAATATAAATTTATTAAAAAATCTATTTCCTTAGGTTACTGATATCAAAGTAAGTGTTCCTGTTAGATATCAGTTGTATATTCATAATGAGCATTTAATTAACTTCATAATAAAAGTGTATTCATAATCAAACTACATGTTTTTGCGTATATGGAAAATTTTCAAGGGTTAACAAATATCAGTCAAATTTTCTTTATCCACCATATAGTTTCATTATTCATCAAATTGATAAGTGTATATGCATAAAAATTTATAAACAGTTTGCGTTATTTAACCTCCTTAATTTGGATTAGAATTGAGTTAACTAATTCCAATTTCTTAATATCCTTTTCTCATATTGTATACAATATTCAATGATTAATACTCAGTACTCTTGAAGGATTTCATTTCAATAATTTCTTTATTTGTTAAGTTCAACTATTTATTCTTAGGGTTCAAGGTTACTTTCTAAGAGAATAATTTTAATAAAAAAAGTAAAGTTTCAATAATGTTGTATTTTCTTAGTTGAATGATCTAAATGATAACAATTTCTGTTCTTAATGTAGATTGATGTTGTCCTAAATGACAACAGATGATTTACAGTTGAACTTAACTTTAAATGCATCCATTCTCTAGGGTTATTACTAGTAGAATTGTAGAAACCATCGTTTGGTTTTCGGAAAATATTTTCCATCCTTTTAGTAACACTAAAATAATAACTGACTGTACTTAGTTTACTCTGTATATTTTATCTACATTTTTTTGTTACACGGACACTTTCATCCCACTATTTTATTCGCATATGTCATCAAATCAAACAACTTGGTTTTAATCATTTTCTATATCTGACTGAATATTTGGAAATAAATGTGAAGTAGTCCTGACTTTCAACTGCCACTGAATTTCGGTATTGCACGACTTATTTTATGTTATCGTTGATTTGAAAACACTTTAATATATATATATATATATATATATATATTTCAATGGTTAAGATCATGAGTCAGTTGAAGCTATCCCACCCTGGAAAACCTGGAAGCACTGGACGGCCGTTTCGTCCTATTGTGGGACTCCTCAGCAGTGCGCATCCACGACCTCGCCCTCTGCGAGATTGGAACCCAGGACCTACTGGTTTCGCGCAAGCACTTATATATATATACACTTTTAAAAATCTTATTTCATTTAGTACATAGATTATCATTGTTTAACTAAAATAATAATTTAGATCACATGTTGCTTTCATGTACTATATTGACAATTCATTTGATACTATGAAGTATATATCTAATCCAAAGTATTTCAGTATTGTGGTTTCGAATAAATTAATCCAAAGTAAACTCTCTGTTGTCATTTCATGCAATGGTCTCAATCCAAAAATTCCAATAAAGCAAGGATAACATGAATCCCAGTACACGGTGGATTGATTGTTTTTTATTATTTTCTGCTCTCAGTCTAGTATAAATTGTTGGAACTATTTCACTTCAATTTTCACTGTATTATCTACTAATGATAACTGGTTCTTTTAGTCTTGGAATGAATAAATCGATAGATTTGACTGGGTTTTCATAATGACTTACATTTTTTATGTTTACATCATCACTTCTTTTTCCCGACAAGTGATACTATATCTCTGTATTCTGTGGCGTTAGCCAAGGTTTGAGAGAGAAATTAAGTCAACAGTGAATGAGAATCGCGATGTGTCGAAAATTGATTGAAACTGAAATTTGATGCCATTGGACCCTGATTCAATATAGTAAATATATTGTGACCGTTGGGGGGATTTGAAGATCTTCAATTGACCATAGGTGTGTACACTGTTGTATAGTTTCAAACTAGAACGGAAAGATGGCTCAGTACTCTCTAGTTTTACTCGTCATCCAGCTGACATCAGTTTACGATGAAATTCACCTTTGGAATGTATAAAAACTTTCCATTAAAACCAATCTATTTAATAATCAATTTTTATTAGTCTACAATTTTTCAGTTCTTCATACCTTATATAAACGGAAGTCTTGATTATAATGTTTCATTATATAAACTAATAATTACGGTAGCGTGAGTTCATTCTATTTTACTAAAGATGATTATCATCTGAACATAAATAAAATATATGAATTTCCGTCATCGTAACAGAGTTATAAATTCCTTAAATAGGATTGCTTGTTTGTCAACACTTATGTGTACGTCTTTTCGGTAGTTCTGTTGTATATTTTAACTTTTCATTAATCTTCTATACTATTTTAAAACACTGTTTTACTGATCTACGGTACAGATTAATATTTCGTTGTATTTTGTTCTCCACTTAATACTGTATAGTAAATACATAGCTGTATCGATAAGTATTTAAACTGTAATTGACTTCTTATGATAACTATTTCAATTGTTTATATTGGTTGACCGTAATTCAACTATTATTCTTTGATAAACAAATTATTATTTTTTAACTTTGATACTTTGGTACAGTCACTTTAAAGTCTAACGATCTATCTACATAGATATGTGTATATTTTCCGATACATTGAGTCAATTTAAGAATTCAGTTTGAAGTTTTTTTTCGTGTTGATACATTGTGTTTATCAAATTTTAAACTTAATTTTCCTTGCGAAAATGTAGAATGTAATGATTATTAAGTCATAGGGAATACAGTTGAGTAATTAAATACAATGGTTCAAGTCATAAGTATTTGTATAAAAACTAGTATATGACTGCATAACTGTCAAAACTTTAGTTGATGAGAGCATAGTGACAGATCAAATTGTTGAACGACAACTTCATGAGTTTGTGCATCCTAATTTGATTCGCCATCACTCTCCATCGTATAATTTGTCAGCAATGCTTCATGAGGAATCCAAAATAACCACACGCTGTACACTGGAGATCTATTATGATTAAACATGCATTATGATGTGGTTTAATTCCATATTTAGTGTATTATAAACAAATGCTAAACAGCATTATTATAATTATTATAATTAAAGAGTTCATAGATGATTGCATAAACTACTCAAAGTTACAAAAACGTTTGTGTTAACTTAATGATGTTAGTGTTATAACGTTTTCAACCCTGTTAACCAGTTCAACACGATATATATTACTTTGGAATGAAGCGAAACACCGTTTCATTATCTAATCGCGTATTTTCTCACATTTGAATAAATAATCATCTTTTTCACACCTCGAAATACTTGATGTTTTTGTTGTTCCTTTTATTACTTATTCATGACTTTATTTGATATGAAAATTAAATATACACGAATTCCTATTTTTTTCTACAATTAATTTAAAAAGGTAGTGATTCATTGTTTTCCCGATAAAAATTAATTTTTTAGACATGAAGTACTCATTGAAGTGGAGTTGTTGAAGTCTGAAATAGAAAGATTAAAAGCAGAAGTAAGCAACATTTATACATTGATTTGTTAAAAGTTCTCTAAAAACTATATTGTTAGACTATGGAATTGTATCATTCTTAAAAGATTTTGTAAGTGACCAGTTGAAAAAAGGTAGTTGTACATTAATCATTTGATCTGTAGTCATCACGATTTTAATGACCGACAATTTAGCTGAAAAACATACTGTAGATTATTTTAAAGAGTAAGGAATTACTGAAAACATTCAATGCTCGTCAGTGCCATTATGGTTACTTTTCTTTAAAGATAAATAAGATGAACTGTTATTACTGTGTGTAATAATTTTGAAGTAGAAAATATATAATCAAAACCATGTTTTTTCCCACTTTAATTGACTGTAAAATAAATGGTGTAAAATATATATATAGGGCGACGATTATTCAACGACACTGATGACTATTTCACTCTCGACATGTCCGAAGGCCCTTGGTTCGATTTCTGTTGGAGTCATGAGTGTGCACTGGTTAGGATTCTCATACGAGAACAAAACACTTCCAATGCTTTCAGTGGTACGTGAATTGGGATCAGTCTATGAGGAGCGATATTTGTACATTCCGACCTTGAATGACTAGTGCTTTAAAAGTTCAAAAATTAATGAAAAAAAACATTTTTCACTACTTCGTAGTTACGGTTTACTCAGTAATTTTTTTCTCATGTTGAATGTTTCGTAGTATTTTCGTAGTAAGAAAATCTTTTAGATATGAATGTTGGATTATTTACATCTCCCCTTTACTTCTTCCTGTTTTCGTTTAGCATCATGAACAATCTTATTCGCTGTTGAATCGTATACGAATATTAGAAGATGAAATCAAAGAACTTGTACAATATAAGTCTAATCACGAAGAGGTAAATATTTTTGAAAATATACTATATCGATTAAACGTTTATGGAAATCGTGTTTTATTCAAAGATCATTCACACCATAGATTAACTTTCCTTTTGATTTTCTATGGTTATCGATTTAGTATCGCTTTGTCTTGTAAGGTATCTTCAAACCAAATAATAATAAGTCTCCCATCAAAATAATAATATTCAGTTGCACACTAATAACTAAATCCAAAATTATTTCCCAAAGTTCTGTTGAGAAGCCATCAGCGGTGGACTACAGCCGTGTTGAAAGTGAGACAGTCATCACAAAAGGCAATAAATGAATGCCTTTGAATAAACTAGAGTACGTTATGTAGATCACTGATTACCGATTCACTGATATAAACGTAAGTCATTCGATAAGAGATTTGATGGTCATGCGTTCGACACCTGGTAGAGTCATGTGTGTACAGTGCTAAGAAGCCCCAGTACCAATAAAAGTGAGTGACGATGGACAATGAGTCCTACGAATTAAAATAAAAACCGAAGATTTGGTTGAAGACTAGATAAAAATGTAACTACTCCACTACAACCCATTCTTTCCCATATCTTCTGATTACTTCAACCACCAATTACAATTGTCTCTAATATAAACTATCGGGTTTAAATTGTTTGAAATGGTTCGAACCTTAAGTCAGTGTTGGTTGATTTCGACTACTAAATTTATGTTTTCACCCTTGTTAATTACTTGAAGATTGTATAATCGTACAATGAATTATACTATCTGATTAGCATTAAATGGTGATTCCTAATCATCCAGTTATTCTTATATCTTATTTTGTATAGGGTCCATTAAATTCTATACATGTTACAAATCTCTATCAATGGCAATAAAATATGTTCGTCTGATTATCAAAATATGTTTACGTTCGAAATTGAACGTTAGATCTTATTGTCTTATTGATTATTTCTAACTGTCAAATTGAAGAACTAATGCATACATTTTATTGTATACATAAAAATGGCATCATCTGACCAATTTTTAGTGAAGGTTATACCCATAAAAAAGCATGAATTTTCTCAAAATTTGTATGTGAATCAAAATTTCGCCATAGAAAATCTAAAATCAACTCTAAAGGGAATAAATGCTTCTTTTTAAGAAAAATTGAATTGATTTTTTCTGAAATATTATATATATATTAGTCACTTGATTTGTTAAAAGTTTAAGATAAATGTGTCCTCTTATCTAGTCTTCCATTTGTATATTATTATATAAATATACTGAAAGGAAATCAAATATTCAATGATCTGTGATTGAATAAAGCATGTTAAACATAGATCATATGTTGAGATTAGTTGGTGGTTGGAGATAGTCAACAGGAAACCGTGGACCCAGGTTTCGTGCTACTTGGCACTCATCAGCAAGGTGTACCTGTAATCTTGAGGAAACTGGTGCTCCCTGGCGGATTACGACCTAGTGTCACCCAGCTTCACAGTCAGAGACGTTACCACTGAGCTATCCGGGCCGCGACTGACCTACTGTATGACTGAGATGTAATCACAATTAATTGATCACTGAGTGGTGATCAATGTCATGCGTGTCAAGTCCTTATTTAGTGCAGATCGAATACTATCGACCACCTGTCGACTACCTCCAACCGCCATCTAATTTCAATATATAGTGCACGCAGTGTCGAGTCACCTAGACCGGTGACCACATTGCAACATGGTCGATAGCATTCGATCTGCACTAAATAGGACTTGACACGCATGATATTGATCACCACCCAGTGATCGATCAATTGTGATAGATCATGTGTAGAAGAACATCCTGGAACATTTTAAAACAGATATACATGATGGTCAGGATTGGAATTCAGGACCCGCGTTTCGTTTTCTATCAGACTCGTCAGCTGTATGCACCTGCACCCCAGAGTTGATGTTCACTACCGAACTGGAACCCATTACCATTCACTTTAAATGCCATCGCGTTATCTACTTAGCTACCGAGTCCAGATAGTCACTAGCTTGTATGATGGGTGAACTTTAATTTATATGAACTGATTAGTCGAATCCTTCTATTAATATTTAGGACTGAAACTGATCAGTCTCATTTAGCAAACGTGAATCCTGTGCGGATTGCCTCGATATTGCAACTAAGTTACATGTATTTTAAAGTTGAGAATAGTGGAGAGATCAAAACATAGAAGCACAAGATCCACATGTGCTAAAAGCGATTGATCAATTGCTGTCTCAAACATTATTGGGAAGATTCAAACAACTGATAGATATAAATTCTGGAACATTAATAATAGCAAAAGACAAAAAGCTTAAAAATAAATGGTCACATAAGAAACAAACGCCAATAATAAGGAAGAGTAAAATGAGTAAAGCTTAATTATTTGGCGATAAAATTACTAAACTAGAAGAGAGTCGAAGAAATGACATAACGAACTAATCGAATGAGTGGATGAGTTGAAAAACCCCGATGACAAAACAGTTTCAAAGACAAAAACGATTGACAAATATTTCCTTTTTAACACAGATCAGCTTTCCGACGCTTAGTGGCAATAGGTTCAGTAAAGATTTCATGGTGCCTACTTGTTTTTCTATTTCCAAATTATGTATAGAAATTGCGATACTCAATGTCTGTATTCCTCTTAAACGAAGGGTTTAGGGAGCGTTTCTGGAGAAATCAACGGTAGTCCATTTTTTTCATTAGGCAATATGACTTGTTTGGCAGCTACACCTACGTTTATGTAAAAATGACTGTGTCTGGTGTCTTTTGATTGAGTTAATAAATATGTTATTTTATCCAGGATTATTGGTTTAGATTCAGATTAGTTTCTCAGTGGTGCAATGTTAATTCTTGTACTATTTGTCCTTAATGGGTATTTTAATTACTGTAGCTACTTTATTGTCCTTAGTTTTCTACATTTGTGAATAAATACTTGTAGATATCAATTACCTAATAGACAGTTTTCAACACTTATCATTTCTTCCAAAATGAATTAATAAAATGAAGATGAGATCTCTATTTAACTAGATGGTTTGTAGATTCAGTCATTTTCTCTGGTACTCTAAAGTATGAGGTAGTTTATTGTGTTGAGATATTAGTGAATATTTTCAGTTTACGAGAATGATACTGTTGAAATTGGATTATTTGTGCTGATTAGTCTAATTATGAAGTTTTGTCTAGAAAGGCAATGAAAATTTAATAATCAAACCATCTAGCTTAAGAATGCAATTTTTACAAAATTTCAGTGCGTGAATTTCATTGTGTATGGTAGTTGGAAAACAAAAATTGATTAATTTTCCTTTCTTATTTTTTCTGCATTAATTCATTCAAAAATTTTTCTTCTTAGTCTTCTAAAGAAGCAATTTCTTATTTATTCTCTCATTTTTAAACAAAATTTTCATTTGTTCTTTCTATTCATCTGTTTGTTTAATCGTGTCTATGTGTGTAATTGCTTATTGCTTGTTTACTATCCAGCTTTCTACTGCTTTTTTCGGTGCCATTTATGTTTCGGAAAAAGCTGAAATAATATTGATCATTTTTTTGAAGTTCAATGCCTAACTGTTTATTATTATTCTTAGTATCATTGGTAGTATCGGTAGTAGAAGTACGTCGTTATTTTCTATTAAATTTTATATTAACCAGTTGTTAAGGAGATTTATTAAGAAAGAAGGTGTATTAAGATTATTGACTAAGAAACCTAAAAGATGCTTTGTACTACCTGGTTTTCATTCGCTTTACAATTAATCATAATTTGTTATGAAAATTACTCTGAAATTCAACAATATTCACAAACTCGCTTTCCTAGGAACAATTAAGTTTCTATTAATGACTCATTTTGAAATGAATTCACAAATATTTAATGAAAACGCGATGACCGGTTAGATATGTATGTATCAGGATCGGAATATCAAGAGTATCTACTTGTCTTACCTTGATACTTTTACTTAGTAAAATTGATAAACATAGAACTATGTAGAATCTCACTAAAGTTAATTGATTACTGTCATTTCTCTGTACAACAGTACAGTAAGAAAAAAGAGTAGAAGTGGAAAAATCATTATGAATAAATTAGGTGTGTATGTAGGAAGAGACAAATATAAAGTGTTCAAGACGTAAAGAAAAGATAAATCGCAGATACATCTCCATCATTATGGTCGATTTTGCCGTATGAAATCCGAAGTTTGTAAACAATAAATTCCATTATCCCAAATATCTCATTCAGAAAGTTTACAACTCCCCAGCTTACTCCGATCACTTGTCGTTGCTTTTATGAAACAGTGATTATTGTCTTCACTTGTCAACTAACTTGTTACATGGTCAATTACAAACTTGTATAGCTGAACTTTGTTAATGGTTTGTATTTTCATGTACCTTACTTTTATTTTGTCTTTTTATTATCCTCTGGATTTCAAAATTATTTTGCATCTTTCATTCTTGGAATCAATTATTTCCTCTTGAGTCAAATTCTTTAAAATTAGTCTTTTTACTAATGTGGTATATGCTACCTATGTCTGTCAGCATACATAGTATGTAATACTGATCGGAAGCGGAAAACCTGGTAACAGAAGGCTAAGATGATAAAGTTGAAGGGGGCAGAAATGCAAATAGAAAGGAATTGCTAATAGGAAGAATCATGCATAATAAAAGAGATAAATTGTGGAAATTTTCAAATGGAGTATTAATTGCATGGTTCCCATACTTTACCAAAACATTCTGTAATTATGTGTTAAAGTACTATTGGTTGTCCCCGCCTGTGTTCTAATTTATTACACTATCTCCGATACCTTTTCATTACTACTTCTATTACTATAGTATTCATCTTAATAGTTACATCTTTCTGTGCTGATATCTGGTGTGGTAACATGGACCGGTATTTATGTGCTTCAGATCCCACTTTGTTTGTGACTGATCATTGGACTTTTTACTGGACAACTAAAACACCTTTGCAGCTATATATGTATGTTTTAAGACATTGATCCTTCTATCTTATGAGCAGATGTTTGGTATAATTAAGTTTTAACTTTAGGATATTTTTCATTTTAATTGGTTATTTTTGCATATACCCAGCAAACATGTTAGGGGATCTAAGATATAGTGTCAAGGATTCCTTTGAATTTGTTGAGAACATAAAAAATCTATCAGTCAAGAATAATTTCATGTTATCACTTGATGTATCATCTTTATTCACTAACATTCCACTACTAGAAACAGTTGATTTTATTTGCAATGAACTAACAGAGAGACGCATAGAAACCCCGATTCCAGCATCCGCGATAAAACAGTTAATTCTTAGATGCACAATGAATGTACAATTCAGATTTGACAACGAATACTATAGACAGCTAGATGGAGTTGCCATGGGATCACCATTGGGCCCTCTACTGGCTGATATTTTCCTTGCAAAACTGGAAAACGGACCACTTAAAAGCATAATTAGCCATTTACCAACTTATTATCGCTATATAGACGACACCTTCATAGTACTAGAAAAAGAAAATGATAAGGACAATTTACTTAATACATTTAATAACGTTCATCCATCAATTAATTTTACATCAGAAGATGAACAGAACGACAGCATATCATTTCTAGATGTCCAACTAAAAAGAAGAGCAGACGGAACTTTAAAAAGAGGGGTACACAGAAAATCTGCAGCAGGACAATACACTCATTTCTATAGTGCAGTTCCAATCAGATACAAAAGGAACTTGATAAAAATCTTGACACATCGGGCTAGAATGATTTGCTCTGAAGACACCATCGAAGAAGAATTGAATAATATTCGGAACCTACTTAGCATGAATGGGTATCCCATGAAATTCATCGACAAACATATGATGGAGAAGAAAACAAGGACAAAGATACCCACCGTCCATAAGAAGGTACTATTCATAAAACTACAATTCATAAATGACACCATTGAAGAAATCTTGACTCAGAAACTAAGAAGAGCCGTACAAAAAACATTTAATGCTGCCAGATTAAATGCAATCTTCTACAACTATCCTAAGATAAGAACAGCCAACAAAGACAGACTGCCTGAATTCGCCAAATCTATGTGTATCTATCGTTTCAACTGCTCCTGTGGAGCCAGTTATATTGGGCGTACAATTCGGCAAGTCCGTCATCGCATTACTGAACATCATCCGTCGTGGTTAAACAAAGGACAGGTAAAAGTGATTAAAAGTTCTATTCTCTCTCACTTGGTTGACACAGGTCATCAAGTCGAATTGAATAAAGCTTTTAAGGTTATCTACAATATCCCATCTAATTTGCCACATGGTTTACGAGTGCGCCTCTTGCACATTGCGGAAGCCATCGCAATCCATGTTCACAAACCTGACCTTTGCATTCAAAAGAGATTCGTACAACCACTTTCCCTGCCCTGGCCATCAGTTTAAGATTTCCTTCAAAAGAACTATTTTTCATACTTCTTCCACTTGTTTTTTTTTTGCTTTTGAACTTAATAACTTCTCAACATTCATCTCTTGATTCTTACGTAACTACCATCCTATTGACCATCCGTTAAAATTCTGTTCCTTCTTTGTTTCTTACATTACGCAACGTAGCAACTTCTTGATCACTTTGAATATTAATAATCCTCTTTCTTCCAATTAATCAATGTTAATTTAAATGTCATTATGTAATTATTACGCAACGTATCTACTCGATGAGTATTATATTATTATTGTAAAACATATATATATATATATATATATATATATATATATATATATATATATATATATATATATATATATATTAGTGTAGAGCTATGAAGAAAAACTAATTGAAAAGAAACTTCTTCGCTCAATTCGTTCCTTCTTTATTTACCAAATGGCAAAATGGGAATTTTAACTAATTTTTCGCTAATGTAATCATTTTTACAGTGAAATAATACAAGTATTTTATTTAGTTAATAAAAAAACACCATAAAATGGATTGAATTGGTCATATTGTGTAAAGGATGTATGATATGAATACTAAAAAATACTTAAATGATGTACTGTGAAGTACTCATCATTTCGACTACGAATTGAATTAGAGATCTGATAGTATACAGACAGTTGGAGGTGGTAGTGGACATGGAACTCTTCATATGAAATTTTCAGTACTATACAATACTCATCAAGAAATTATGAAATATCTCGGAAACAACCTATACGCCTTTCAAATTTTTAACGTTTCCTTTTTCAATGATAGATACTTAGGATTTGTTATTAAATTTTGAGCTACCACTTCCTCATAAAATCAATGCGAACTGTGCTCATTTCATAGTATATAAAAATTTACTACAGTATTTATCGCTAAATAAACTGTTAAAGAACAAAATATAATAGTGTAACAAGTTTTAAAATATACTTTATCACCAAATATTGAATTAGGCATACCTGGTTGGATTGACTATTTTTTGTAAGATGTTTAATTTTATATTGAAGGATTTAAACTTTCTAAAAGTAACTTTTATGGTTACTTTCTGTTACCGCTTCAAATAACCTCTACAATTGTTTATATTACTAAACGGATTTCTTATTTTTATGATAGAATACTTTCAAGTTAACATGATATTATAATAAAAAGATACACTCAACATTATTAGCTAACCTATTAACAGGGTTAATTAAACCGTTGAAATGTCGCGACTACTATCAAAGTCAATCATATGTCCTATGTGTGTTTAGTAATATGTTACTTAAAAATAAGGGATTATTAAAACTATACTATAGTTCAATTCTGAATGAGAATGCCAATCCACTGAATTTGAATGTAAAGCTAAAATTTCGAAAGCTAAATTTTGTATGAGAATACTAACACCACAGACAATAAATGCTAAAGAATATTTCAGAGAGTAGAAGTAGGTTATAAGCTAAATATGGGATACAGATTGATGAGACTATAAACCTTTATTGATTAAGATAATGTGGATAAGTGTTAGACACCATTACTTACCACATTCGCCAACGCTAAATATCGGCTATCATAGAAGTAGGTTAAACAAAAGCTGGGAAAGAATGACGATCAAGACACAAGATCATTTCTTAAGGTCACCAACTGCTTATTTGACTCACATTAAGATTTTTTTAAACGTTTTTATTAACGAGATAATCACAGTCTTAATTTGGAGACGGATGACTGGATTCATGATCTTTACCAATACAGCTGTATTCATTCGATACTATCATCTGATACTTGGGCTTCGTGTTATTGTGTACTTTTTTTGGTCTCACGCATTTTTTTAATATGTTTCTCATCAGGAGTTTTGTGGAGATTTAAATAATTTCAATAGCTGAACTCATGAGTCAATTGAAGCTAGGCCACCATGGAAAATCTAGAAGCACTGTACGGCCGTTTCGTCCTATTGTGGGACTCCTCGACAGTGTGCGTTCACGATCCCGTCTCGCGAGATTCCAATCCAGGATCTATCAGTATCGCGTGCGAGCTCTCGAAAACTGAGGAGTCTCATACTAGGACGAAACGACCGTCCAGTGCTTCCAGGTTTTCCATGACGGTCTAGCTTCAGTTGAATCATGATTTCAACTAATGTTTCTCATATATATTTTTTCATTGTAACTCCTGTTACCTTCCTTGTACTTCTTATCCTTTTAATTTTGTTCGTTTTTTCATTTTTCTATTTTTTTTCTATTTTTGTAATTTGGAGAGTGAAATAGCCTGAACCGATGGATCTCTTTGTAAACTTTTGTATTATTTCAAGTCTGTTTATGTGTATAAATACATCCATTTACTCTTTTATACTGATGTTTAGTTTTCTAACCGAAATTCGAAATATGTTATGTTTTTGTAATTCTAATCTCTTTTTTTTTACATTTAATGTTGTTTGGTTATTTGTAAAAAAAAGTATTGTTTTTGTCCGATTGATTTTATATTCCGTCACTTTTAATTATATAATTGAACTAAGTAAGGCAAATATTTACATTTATTCATAGCAAATGTTTTATTGTATAATAAACGTAGTTTCTAAGTAAAATATATTGTATTGGATAACTTTGATTATTTTCTTCACTGTTTTAGTCGAATTTAAACCCTAGATATGGGATATATGAGTTTGAATCTAACTGTTCTCATTTCCAACTTTTGTTTTATCCTCAATGTTATGTGGTCATTATCAGTAGCCACGGCATCTAATCAATAACACATTCTTTATGGTTGAAGACAATCCTATATTCCTAGAACATTCTTTAATAATCTACTAAACTAGACAGTGTACTAGTCAAATCTAAAAAGTATATGTTAACCGTATACACACGAAAAATAATTTAAATTTTGACAGTTTGAGCCAGAAATATTCCAAAAAAATATTTGACTCTATCAACATGGACAATTGACATTATTTATCATTTAAAAAAAAGTATCTTTTAGCATAATTGAAATTGCATTCGATCTTACCATAGTAACTAGGGTATTGAACATTTTAGAAATTAAGTTGCACATTTGAACCTCGTCTCATTTGTCTTGGTTTATAGAACTAAGTAATATTAACACTATCACAGAAAATAAAATCAATTACATAAGTCTATACTTAGTTATTGAGTTGTATAGTAAAATTATGATGACTGTTGTAAATATTAATTTTTAGAAATTATTTTGTTAATTGTAACCAAGTTAGTCATGATTAAACATGGATTTCATTGAAATTTTCTCGTATACATTAATTCAGTTTATTATAAAAATGAACTAATTATTTTTGAACAATCTCATTTCAGTATTTTTTTCTTCGTTTCCACGTTTCTTTTTTGTAGCAACAAGTGAACTATGAGACGAAATTAACTGAAAAAGTTTGTCAAGCTCAAATGTTTGAAGAGAAATTTCTAAAATTAAAAGAAGTCTATACTAAACTACGTGAAGAACACGTTGTTCTGTTGAAAAATGTATGTTTATCACGTTTCTTTTTGTATATTGCATATTAACTTCCATTCCCTGGATGTATAAATATTTGATGAGTGATTAAACATTAGTAAATCGTAATTGTATGTGTCTACTAGAGATGGATTGCTTGAAGTTTCAATGAAAAACTGTGATCTATGTGATCTGATAAGTAAAAATTAAAAGGTAGTAATTCTTCATTAAAGTTAGATGAGTATTGTGCTTTACTACTATTATCTGCAGTTGAGAAGCTTTAGATTGAAATATATTGACTTGAAAAAATAATGCTTTTTGCAAGATTTAAAGGTTGAGTTCTAGATTTCTTGTGGAATCTTGGTACACGTTTTTAAAGAGTCTTAAACCAGGACAAAAAGATTATGAAAATTTTAACAAAACATTTTTTACAAAATTTGTGTGTTGAGTGAAAAAATGCGATTCTAATTGTTAAAATTCTAGTCGCTGAAATTTTTGCAAATGTAAATGCCTTTTAGATATCTATTTTTTTCTTTTCAAATCCTCATTAATCGAGCAACCTTCAACATAATTAAATTTCTTTTCTGACCGTTTCTCTTTGGGTGGAGATTATGTTATCTTCTACACGACCTATTTTACGCAAATGTTTATATATATATACTTTATTTCTTATAGAATCCACACAAACTGTTTAGGAATGGTTTTATTCTCATTACAGCAATAATCATGTTACATTTTGCTTCTTTGATTATAATTCTAGGTGTTTTTGTTAAGCAAACAATATAAATAGATTAGGTACTTCAGACCATTCGAAATGAAGATCACATTGAGCTATCAAAAATTTGTTCATATTTGCACGAATATCCTTAATAAAATAAAATAAAAATAAAAATTTGTCTAATTGCGAATCTTTATTATAACTCTTGTTAGAGGTAATGACTTTTATTGAAAAGCAATACAAATATTATTGTTAGTTCTTTGTAATAAGCATACAGATTTCTGAGCACACATGATACCTAGAATAAAGCTTAATGACTTTGTTTTGTTTTTATTTGTCTCGATTATAAATGGAATTGATCGACTGAAAAATAGGAACATGGATTTATCTAAACAAATTATTAACGTAATACATACGAAATAACACTAACCCACATTATGGAAGAATTCTACTTACTTTCAAGCTAATTGAAATTGCTTGATCATCATAAATTCTGCTACCTAAAATAAGGGATGTTTCAATAAATATTAATAGAATGTAACTCGACCATCATAGCAAATTTTCTATATTTGATCGATATAATTAATGAAAGTTTTGTGTAAGGCATTTAAATAATATCATTAGGATAAATTAAAGCGACCGAATATGATAATGTAGCATCGTTTAATGAAGACTAATACTTGAATTTATCAGGATGTGCTGTTTCTTATTATGTTTTAACTTCACGATTTCGCCTCTAAATGTGAGCACTACTACTACTACTACAAAGATAATTTTTTTACCTCTACAAAAGCTACATTACAGATATTTAGTAAGCGATTTCATAATTCAAAGTATTATTAGTGTGATTTTCAGTCACTTTCATATCTGTGAAATTCTACCACTAGACAGTACAGACTATTTTCGAAAGTCACTCACATCGAGCAGTCGGTCTTTTGAGCATGTAGAAACAATTTTAATGCTGAATAGCTTTTCCCTTGTTCAATCAGCTATGTGCACTTTTATTGCATAGTGTTCAATTTATGTGAATTCATCAGTATATCATAAATTAAGTGATTGATTCGTCTAATATTTACGAAATACACTTTGATAATTATTTTTTCTTCATTGGATAACTATCACCAAAAATATTTTGTCAACATAGGTGCCTGGGACTTAGTCTTTTAGTTTAATTAAAAGATGTCTTGCAATCCGCGTTATGATCAACTTACATATATAAAATAATGAACTTTTCCATTGAAAATTAAATGATCACTTCTTTAGATCCACTGACATACAAGTTTTGATATTCATTCAAGTTAACTTATAACATAAAGAGGCAAATGTATACCATGTTGTTGAATACTTGTAATTGGATGATTAAATACTTTTCTAGTAGTGTTTAGGTGATAAGACATAGGAGGATGGTATGTTTTTCGTGTGTTCATCATCTTATATTTTCTGTATAAATATATTGTGTTATAATGAGTTTATTTTAGAAACGATTTGATTATATATAAGTTTACAAAAGAAATATTGGCATAAAACAACATACATGATTGTAAACTTCACCTCGAGATATTCCTGATAACATTTCTATTGCTTGCCATTTTCTTTTTTTGCGAACGATGTAGTAAAACTGTACACTTTCATCAAAATCTTTAGAAAAAGCCTCGTATATGTAGTGATAATCAATTTCTTTTGATAATTTACCAGTCAGCTCAATCTACTCCAATTCAACTTTCTGTTCTTTAGCTTAAATAACTTTTTTTCAAAACACCTTCAACGACTGTTCTCTAAGCATCCTATTTGCTTTGTGATTGTGATCTACATTAACTGAGCATTGGCTAGTAACCAATATCATTCTTCATAGTCCCTGTTGCTAATCGAATTCCTGATATATCAAATTAAGGTAGTCATTAGTCTAAGTGAGTCGATTTTTCTGAGCAGTTTAATTTGATGTTATTTGGCTAGAGACAATAGGCTGGGAGATCTTTTTCTAAGTTCTCTGCTCTCTGAAACCATGGAGCAGCCCGTATTGTCGGTCTCTAGGAAACTGATACCACTCGTAAGATTTGAATGCAAGTTACCAGCTGTTACTGTAAATGATCTTCACACTGAACTGTTCAGCTAACATTACTTTTCTGTATTACAAATCAACATTTTATTTATTTTATAAATTATCTCCCTGATTTAAAACTTTGCAAAATATCTCAAGAGAACTGAATCAGTTTCTGGCGATTTCCCAAGATTATTCCTGTTCTTCATAATACATTTAAATTATCGAAATGTCCACATTTCTACCAAGCAATAAATTGAGCTAAGTAATGTCGACAAATGTCTAGTGGTTTTCGGTAGTTCTTTAACTAATATAAATTTAATAATGATGTATGTATAGCTTCACTAACTTACAAATATTATTGCACATAGTTTTCATGTAGCTTACTTTACTATCTATTCATTTATATAGCATAATTTTTAACTTTAAACAATATTACATCTTATATTTGTTTGTTATTTTTATTTAACTTATTATCCATGTAGTATGGCAATGTTCTACAAAACTTACAACAAGAAACTCAAAAGAATCAAGATTTAGTAAAAACAATTGAAGTATGTCAGCAATATCGTTTTATTATTTCAAGATATAAATCCAATTATGCAATGCAATGCAATTATTACTCATGGATTAATTTTGTGTGTTTCTAAAGAAGCTTTCTGGTACTGAAGTTTATCTAGATTTGTTGACAAAATAAGTGTGACTACTGAGTAACAGCTTTGAATGAATTCTTAAATTGCCCCTTTTTTTGTGACTATTATGATCTTTTGGTTAGAACTAACATCACTAATGAAATTACGTATTATCATAATGTTTTGTAAATACGAGAATAAGTCCTATCTAGACTTTGATACTTGGCTACCATAACATTCTTTTCGTTCTAACCCCCGGGCACTTCAAAAATCAATTTTTCAAGGAACATTTATTAGGGAAATCAAAGATTTGTTTAAGCAAACAATCGGTGCGTTTAAACACGTTTCTAATGATGATTTTTGGCATAGGGTAAGAAATTAGTATGCTCGATAGTCCATAAAGCATTAATGAAGTGGGATCATTTTATTGTATTAAAAACGAAAAATGTTTTCTGTAGATAGATTGATTACACGCAGAAAAAAATAGCAATTCAAGTATATTGAACAAAAATAACAACATAATCTGTCAGCAAATAGTTTGTTGATATTGTAGCATCTTTAACATATGGAATATTGATATTTTAACAAACGATTAAACCTAGGATTTATATTTAGCAAATTCTTGTTGATGGTAAACAGCTTCATATTTAGGTAACTAATATAATATTCCTTTTGAGATTCTCTGTGTTTGTTTAACCCTTCGTTCTATTTTCTTCTCTGTCACACACACTTGTATATATTTAGACTAAATTGCCTTATGGCATTATTTTTCTTAATATACACCATGTCTGAAATTGTTTCGTATAATTTCATTTTCATTCAATTATATCGTATTCTCATTATAATAATTAAGAGTATATTATTACAGTTTCAGTCTAAATTGTTTTTATTTGATTTTATCAGTAAAATATAACTATTTCGTTTTATTAATGGTATACATTTAGTATTTATTATACATTTTATCCAGTTATAAACAATCTAGTTAATGATAAACACAGAGATGCCAACTATGGTAATTTTTATTTATATATCCATTCGGCTAAGGTATATGTATTATCTGAATAACATTAAAAACGTGGTCAAACATAATGTAATAACAATGTATGTAACGTAACATAGGTATTCTATTAAATGAATATTTAGAAATACGTTCATCTGTTTATCGGTACCTAAGATCATCTGTTAAACAATTGCTTTTGGTTTCATTGTGGTCCTCAGTGCATCTGTGATTATTGCGCCATTCAGTTCAGGAGGAACACTTTTTCAGTTACCATTTACAAGTACTACCACTTTGGTTTATGTAACGATTCCTCGGTGATGTTCAGGGACGTTACAATACGCGATTCTGTTTCAGAGGGAAAAAGAGACTCAGACATAACACACTACTTGCAATAATTTGTTTGTTTTCTTATACAATCTAGGGTTCTCTAAATTAAATAAACTTATTTACTTATCCTTTGTGAAGGGAGCATAGGCCACCCACCATCACTCTCCATCGAAATCTTTCATGGTCAGTCCTTTCCAGGTGATTCCGATTCCCAACACAATGTGTTCTTTAGTCTTTCTGTTGTCTTTTGACCTTCAGGATTTCAAGTTAGCTCTTGCCTCATGATACAGTTTGATGATTTCTACAACGTATGCCCTATCCACCTCCAACGTATTTTCTTGATTTTTTTTCGACTGGAAGCTAGTTTGTTCTATCCCACAGTAGGTTGTTACTGATGGTATCCGACAAGTAGGCATTGAGTATCTTACATTGACAATTGTTTAGAAATACCTGTACTTTTTGATGATTGTTGTAGTAGTTCTCCCATTTTCAACTCCATATATTAGAACTGTCTTGATGTTCGTATTGAAGATTCACACTTTGATATTGGTTGACAGTTGTTTTGAGTGTTAGGTGTACTTCATTTGTAGGAATACAGCCCTCGGTTTACCAATCGTTACCTTCAAATCTGCATCGAATCCTCCTTGTTCATCGATGATACTGCTCAGGTATGTGGGGGATTTCACCCATTCCAGAACCGAATAACACAGATCGAATTCTCGATTACAGTCGTAACAACCCAAAACCTCACAAAATCAACTGCATACAAACTTTTTTAAAGAGGATGAAAGCACACTGCAACACACTTGTAGCGTGAAAAATAGAAGAAAAATATCTAATGACTATCCTTCAAAAGGATGGCTGTCCACGCAACTTGATTAAAAAATGTCAACTCAACTCTTCAGCAGGGAAGTAAATCAAGTACAGAAACCAACAAACGGATCATCCTACCATATATAAAAGACAGAAAATTACAAGACTATTGAAGCCGTTTAAATAGGTGTAGCACACAAATCTTGGATAGAGGAAATACCAACGCACCAGAGGATTTTTAGAAGTTTTGCACTCAGATTAATCAGCAATCAACAAACGCATTGAAATCGATCTGATCCATCAACCAATTAGAAAAATCATGGACAAATATTGGACGAAGAATCAAATCGAAGGAAGATACAATCAAAATAAAGAGGTGGACATGACTGGTGTAAGGTTGACAGGACAATTAGTGAGTCATATGTGGAGAAATTTGAACACTTCACTTCTGCCCGGAGTTTATGCTGATGATGTCGTTCATAAAAACAATGAAAGGTCTACGACCAAATCATTCAACTTAGAGAACAGAACTCCATCTAAATCATCTAACTGAGCTACAAATCTTCAATATTTCAAGTGATGATGATCGGCTTCTCACGTACATCGTAATGTCGAAGAAGGATCCATAACATTCTCCTATCCACATCGTCAAACGCTTTCTCATAGTCAAGGAAGCTGATGCATAGTGACAAGTTTCATTTAACTGATTGTTCAATGATAATTCAGATTGTTGCGACCATTCCTTGCGGAATAGAGCTTGTTTATCTTGAAGTTGATCTTCTTCCTCTTAAAACTTCTTGAATAGAATTTGGATCATCTTTGCACTTACATTAACCTTATAAAGGCTCTCTACTGGGACACAACAGGTCGAGTGAGAGCTTATGGCGAACTGTCATCAGAAATAATTCCTTCAAGTGGTGTTCGTCAGGGATTTCCAGTCCCTCCATTCTTGTTTAACTTTATCGTAGACGTGCTTTTAGAAATGATACTTTCCTCATTTGAATTTCCAGGGGTTGAACTTCTACCAGGAGATTCACTTGTTGATGAAGATGCTAACAAAATGAGGAGTCTTATGACCACTCTAAGCAACAATGCAGGCATGTTCGGGATGCGATTCTCTCCCTCGAAATGCAAAATGTTGTTCCAGGATTGGGTTGCATCGACACCCGAACTAACGATAGGGAGTGAAGTAGTTGAGCGTGTCGACCGCTTCACTTATCTTGGGAGTCTCATCAGCCCTTGTGGTCTGGTGTGTGACGAAATCTCAGCGCAGATACAGAAGGCTCGACTAGCTTTTGCCAACTTGCGTCATATATGGCGTAGGCGAGATATCCGTCTACCAACCAAAGGACGTGTTTACTGTGCAGCAGTTCGTTCCGTCCTAATTTATGGCAGTGAAACATGGCCGGTAAGAGTAGAGGATATTCGTAGGTTACTAGTGTTCGATCATAGGTGTCTTCGAAGCACTGCCCGTATATCCTAGGACCACCGCGTAAGTAATGCGGTTGTTAGGAAATGGGTACTAGGAAAGAATGGCATATCAATTGATGAAGTAGTGAAACTTCATCAGTTGAGACGGCCGGGTCACGTGTTACGTATGCCCAACGACCGACTGCCCAGACGTGCGATGTTTTATGGTGTAGAAGTAGGTTGGAAGAAAGCTAGAGGTGGCCAGATCAAAACATGGCACAAATCCATGAAGTCACTGACAAGTGGACTGAGTCATTTTGGTAAGTGTAGACTACCTGGTTGGGATCCGCGAGACGATAGCAACCGACGGTTAGAGACCTTGGCTCAAAATCGTTTGGAATAGTGAAGGTGCATCCACTTTTTGTGTTCTCACAAATTCTCATCTTCTGAATTCATCTGCCGTTTTTCCGCTTTCCAAATTTACTTCACTGGATTATACTCGTTGAATAATGTCTTCAAACACTAATGTTTCCGATTACTGCTTATACTCTTATTACCTCTACCACTACGGGATTTGAATCGACAACTGCATCTTCGTGTTAATGTGGTATGGCAACTCGAACTGGTGTACGTACGTACGGAGTTCTACGTTGTTACCGACTGACTGACTACATCTATGTCTGACTGTAGTACTTCAGCTGGTATTTTGTCAGATCCTACTGCTTTCCCACTGTTGATTTGTCTGATGGCCGTCCTGATTTCTTCGATCGTTGTTTGAGTGATAGCTATGGAAAGGTGTGTGTGTTGTTTGGATGTCTGATGGGTTGAGTGTGACTGGTCTATTCAAAAGTTCTTCAGAGTGTTAAACCCATCTGTTCCTTTGTTCTTGAATCTCTGTGATTTGCTTGCATTCTTTCTGCTTGACTGGTTGATCTGTTTTACTATATATCACTGCTAGTTTCTTCGTTGTGTCATATTGTCGTGTGATATTTCATTTTGATTCAGTCTTTTCAGCTGTGGTTGGTAGGTGTTCCATGTATTTTTTTTTGTCGGTTGTAACGCTCCTCTCCACGTACTTGTTCGTTTCTGTGTATTCGACGTGTGCTATCGCTTTTTCTGTTGTTGTTCGACTGTTGTTAATTGTTTCCTTCATGATTCCCTGTATTGTGATCGAGTGATACACAAGTAGCCTTGTGTATGTGTTTGTGTGGGAATGTGGTGTCACCTACAACCATTTTGTTTGGGACACATACATTTGAAAATTTGTCACCATTCTCGTTTCTTTCTCCCAGTCAATTGATGTAACTCCACGATATCTTTATGCTCGTTGTTGTCATTCCGACTTTGGTGTTTAGATCTCTCGTCAGGGTTGTGAGTTCATTTCCTGAGCATTTCGGTATTATCGATTTCCGACTTTCATAAGACTGATCTTTATCGCCTTCATTGCTATCATTGGTAGGTGCATAACACTGAATAACATTGATTGTAATCCTCTGCTTCGTTTTGCTGAATGATTTGGTGATGTCGATCTTGTGAAGTGGTTTTCGTGGTTCATTGGACGCTTTCAGTGCAACTCCGTGGGTGTGTGGAAGATTTCTCATTCATGAACCGAATACAACATCATCTTTTCTGAACTCTAACCTTTTCTGTCCATCTTTGATATAATGGGTTCCAATTATTCCGAACACAGCCAAGTTCAATCTCCTCATTTCTGCAGCTATCTGACTTGTCTTCTCAATCTCCAACATTGTCCGGACATTTCATATACCTATATTAATTGTTGCTCCGATCATCAGAAGGAGAATCGGCCTCGTAATTTGCTGAGAATCTTGACTTTCACTATAATGTATTATAACTCTTATGGATGAATATCCTTCAAATTGTAGGTCAGAGTTTAAATGATAAAATTATTTATTGTGGTTTCATTTTTTAAAAAGTTTGGTTTCTGCCGGGTGGTATTTTTGATTTCATTCTGAATCCTCTGGTCGTGGGATCACTAGTCACCCTGGTAGGGCTACAGGCGAAGTTAAAATAAATTTAATTAATTAATTCTTGCTTTTCTACTCTAGGATCTCCGTCACCACCAAATGTCCTCATCACTAGGTGAAGTTGAATCGCTTGTATCTGGAAATAGAACAGAAGAATCGGTCGATCAATGTTTAAAACTACAGTATCAATTGAATGCCTATGAATCAAAATCGGAATCTGTAAATACTGAGAAAGATCAACTTACTGTAGAGGTTTGTGCCGTTTTCAGTTTTAGAAATCAATTATGAAGTGAATTACTTATTTGTTTATTATGAAACTTATTTATTTTACTATTGGTTACAATATAATATTTACTAAATTGATTATTCGTAGTTCATGTTAATAGTTGTGCTTGCAATGTCATTTAGCAGAATAACCATCTCTCAGTTAGAAATAGAAAGATAGATGACAGTCCTAATGTATGTCATTCGTTTACATCCTGAGGTCATTGTTTACTACATATTCACAAAATCTCGCTAAAATTTAGTTTGAAATGAATTGATTAATGAATGAATAAAACTTATTTGATATTTGATTTTATTGTTAATGACTGTGTTTATGCTTTATAAATGGGCAAAGAAGTGATTATAAATATGTATAAAAGTTAATTTGGTACATAAAATGACAACTGTGGTTTTTTAAATAAATGTTCCATTAGTTGGCCACTAATCCGCTTTGATTATTTTGATCATTTGTGTGATCCTATGACGTAAGCTGTGGCGCTTTATCTCCTTAATGAAATTATCTGTATACTCAAATACTCTGTGACTTGAGAAGAATAATCTGTCGTCATTAAAGGTACTGGGATCAGAGATAAAATGAATGTTTTCGACACCGTTTTTAAAAATTAGTGGTCAAAATAATTCTTCAATAAACATGACTAATCACAATTCAATTTGAAATAGATTGTATAATCTCATGGTATATATTTTGATTGAAATTCGATCAGTATTAGTTGGCATATGTGCATCCCATGTGGGTTGCCTTAGTATGGTCATTATGACACAAATTAATAGTGGACAGATGAAATATTACTAGCAGTGGAATCTAGCACACACATTTCGCTCTATGTATAATACGTCAGCCGGATGTTTTGATGAAATTTCAATTTTCAAACTAGAAAGTTTACAAATCTAGCGAAAACAATATGATAAAAAGTCTATACGACTATACCAGAACGACCATCGATCGAATTGTTGAATTAAAAATCAGGGAAATTTGAATTTTCACTGTCTATAACTTGAGAGAAAATAGTGGAGATTGTCTATGGTCAGTAAGTCTATGCATCACAGCTGACTGTATCAGAATACCCAATACGTAAATTTGCGTATATTTAGCGTTATTTCGTAATTCTATCAAACGTTTTATATGATTATTTATAAGTCAATGAAGTTAGTAGCCTATGAACTCAATCTATTTTGGAATTTTGGTCAAACTTCTTTAGTATAAACTTAAGGGTACAAAATGCACCACTACGTTACTTACATCTACTCTGGAAATCATGAAGCTATAGTTACGTAAATAAGAAGCAAATGGATAGAGGTCAAAAACCTTAGAGATGGAAATGTTTATATCTAAATGTTTTATTGAAATTCTTTTTGTCTAAAGAATCTGACACTTTTTTTCTTACGATCAACCAGAGAATTGGTTTCATTCACGTTTATGATTATTATGGATATGTATCTGAAGTCAAGATAAAATACATACTATAAAAACAACTCAGTATCTTAATCACAGCCTCATCCCATCGAATTGTTTATCCCTTTACTTATTCTTTGTTAATGAAGTCAAGCAACCTTAATATTAATAAAATTCTATCAATTATTGACCTGAATCGTTCGTTCAGTTATAACATGTTTAATTACAGCACTGGGAAATTCTCAAAGACATTTGTTTCAGTCAACCAACTATTGATTTAAATCTTGTATCTTGTGAATTAAGCAACTAACAGTAGATTGTTTCACATGTAAGTGTTATGGTACATATAGTCTGAACTGACTTTTTTTCTTTCATTGATTTAGCTAGATATCATGAAGTACTTATTAAATTACCATCTAATATCTATCTCTAGCTCTGGTATTAGTTATGTATCATTGTTTTTTATATGTATTTTTGGCTAGTATACATAAACCATTTTATCCATTAAGATTATCAGTTTCTAAATTGTAATTTATTCATATTGTGCTTACATCCATACATCTACATATATCTGTTACACATAATGCTTATTCAATTATTTTTTCCTATTTACAAACAATTCTATGTGTTTTTCATTGTCGCCTTATAAACGCATTGAAGTCATTTCATAGTTTTGTTAAACTACTGATTTCTATTAATTTGTGTCATTGAGTTTCTCTTGTCAATATAAATTTGTATGAAAACTGTGGCTTCCTTTAAAATTAGATTAATGTACAATCTTAAGATAATTAGTCTAGTGTTTTACCTGTATGTACATACTCTCTAAGTAATATCAAATATCCGAATTTTAATTTTACCTAAATTTCATTGTGAATTGATTTGTTAGTATATTTTAAAGTCGATCAAGCAACTGACCATGTTATCATCATCTTCAAGTTTCTTTTCTGTGACCAATTTTTCCCAGATTAACCTAAATCTCAGCAGAATAAGATACAGTGTTGAACAAACTAACTTCAAATACATACTGATTTAACAAGGTAATATACTCATTTTGAAAAGAAATAGTCATAAATACAAATGATAATCTAGTAGTTCAGTGCATGTGTGAACTAGAATTTTTAGTGTTCCAGTGTATACTGTTTATTTATGGCATAAGTAGCGCGATAATTTGTTTTTACTTTTTTTCACCAATTTGACTTCGAATTAAGGAAATAAACAATATAGAGGAATTTCACCTTTACTTCTTCAGTACACAATAGTTTGCCTTTAAATCTTGACGTGGTCTGAATGTCATTCGCTTTCGTAAAAATCGTGTTGTGACAATCAAAGTATGAATTACATATTTCCATGACTATTCTTTCTAACGACTAGTTTTTAAAATGATTCTATGTTGCTTATATATGTATGCTTGATTATAGACGATATGTCTATATAGTGAATTGTTAGGTGATATTTGATAGATTTCAAACATTTTTAGCTACATTTGTGAGTGGAATCTATTTTAAAGACATCTCTATACAGTCAAACCAAAACATAACATTCCTCAGTTTATTGTTATTTTAGTCTGAGACGTTCTGGAAACTAGTAGATTTTCTGTCTGAAAAGCATAAAATGATATAAGCAAATAACTGGCAAACTAGTATATTGTATTTTGTGTTAATTAACATGATTCATATAATGTAATCACTTCATTTTATGTTGTTAAGATCTAATTTACCATCATCTTTTGCTTCTGTTTCCTTACATTATTCCTTGTATTTAGTCTAATATTTTCGATTATTTGAAAAAGAAATCTTTTCGAATTTCGACCACATAATTCTATGAATACTATTGTTTAAATATACATTATTCAATTGTCCATAAGATAATCATTACATAAAATTGTAGCTCTTGTGTTAATTATATTTGGCTGTATGAAAACGACTTATTTTATTTGTGCTTCAAAGCGAAGTGTTACTTGTTGGAACTTGAAGACAGTTGATGTTCAATATCAAAGATACAATTGGTATCACTAAAATTATATATGAATTTATACTGGGAAGAAGTTATTTATAACTATTCTCATATCTCTTTATCATTTTTTTCTTCTCTATCATTCTGACTAATATACAAATGATACACAATAAATGTCATATGATTCTTACTCCTAGTGTGTATATAGTTACTATTGGAAATATATAGAATATTTATGATTATCATATTTGTTTAATTAATTAAACCTTACTGTAGAAAAAAAGGAACTCTTACAAACATAGTAAACTTAAAAATAATCTAATTGAATGATAATTTACTGAAATAAGCAATATGATTATAATGATGCTACACAGAAAGTGATATATAGTTATCTCATTACAAAACCTCATTTGAAAAGTAAAACATTCAGTAGTTTTGTGGTATGTGCTACTTATATTGACATAAGTAGTATATGATGTTAGTCATGAACAGAATGTCTGGCAGCAGAGAGACAAGAGGATCAAACAGTAAAGAATGGAACAGGATGCAATTTGTATAAAAATGCAAGAACACTGAAGTCTGAGTCACTATGAGACAATTGGTGGACATTTTGCAACTTAAGCATTTACTTTATGATTGTTAGATTGTATTAAAAAGTCCTGTAATATTGTGTTAAATACATTCGATTGTCTCCACTGGTGGAAAATTGGAATCTTGTTACTAGTTAGACTTTTTCAATGAAATCTGTAAAATGTAGATCTATTGATTACTATTTCTATCATTTTTATTTCTATATGTCTAATTCTCTTATTACCCTTGTAATTTTATCTGTTTGTTTTGTTCAATCAAACATTACGTAATAGAATTTAAAATTGATACCAAACTTATTTTATCTTTACTCTTAAGTGCATATCTTTCTTTTTATTTTTCCTAATATATATTAACTTGAAATGTGTTTATTTCTTTTGATCATTCAATTAAAATGATGACTGTAGCAACTGATGCGAATTTACGTCAAAAGTGTATTCTTTGTTTAAATATTTTATAGTCAAATCTTTTGTTAACTTCACTCATAATTATCTTGTAAATACTAATTTCATTTATGTCTAAGAGATTTTTACAAGAAAGTAAAAGATAACCGATAAACAAACGTTGAAGTGATCGAATCAGTATGAGATATCAACGTATGAAGTCATTAAATATAGGTTAATGAAAACCTCTTGGTTGTGATTAGCATAGTTAATATTTGGATATCATAATTGAAAGGACTCGAAATTGATTGTAATGTCTGAGTAGCTTTCGTTATCCTTGTTTTAAATACTGAGCTTGAATATTATTTCATATCTTTCAGTTGATAATCTAATTACCTATTTTTATATCTTACTTTCGATGATTAGTTTTTTTTTCACAATCATAGAAGCTGGTATTACTTTGATTCACTCACTAATAAAATGTTTAATTTCATCACACTGTGATGACTTGATCTAGTGACCTTAGGAGGTGAACGTTTTTACCAAGCCGTAATTTATTTTTACTAATTAACGAAAAACTAAGCAGAATGATTTTCATGGTTATTTAGTTAATAGTTATTGCATTTAGAATACTATTTTGCTCGTTATAGCAACGAAAGTCTATTATCCCACCATTTCATTGATAAAACGTAACTAAAATAATCTGATTAATTGATTGTTAATTTCAGCTTTCAGAAAGTCAACAATTATTAAAGGATTCTGAAATGAAAATTTCCAAATTAACTAATGAATTGCAAGTTTTAAATGATCAACTTAACCAGGAGAAGTTATTTGCAGTCAGGGAAATGATACGTGTAACGGAAATACTTCCACACATATTGTTGGTGATGATAAAGATTGTAAGGATGGCGAATTAACAATGCATTTAGATAAATTTAAACAAACGCTTTTAACAAATACCGTTGAGCAGGTATTATCTGTATTACAAAGTAATCAAACTATTGGACAATCACCTGAATTTATGGAAGTGTACATACATTGTTCTCCAAGTGAGTTTTATATTATCTTTTATTTCTCCTCTATATTCATACGATCTCGTAAATTCGATCTGTAGTCTGATTCTTTAACATTTTGCAGAACTTACATGTCAGAAAATCTTAGTTTTTATAATGTTGATAGGTCGAATTCGTTGTTGCATATTAACAAGATCAACTATACATGATTCCAATCAATGTATGGAGAGCGTATGGTTTACTCGGAGAATTATTCACTATGTTCTTGATCCAAAATTTTTATTTATAAAGAAGGACGATAGCGTCAGATGAGGCATTAATGTATTGCACAATAAATAAACGAGTTTTATATTGTCTTATTTTTTCGAGATCCTAAAAACTGTATGAACCACTGATTTGAAAGTAAGGTTTTCCTCTCCTTTACATTGAGACTTCTCACTCACCTATTCGACTTAGTAATGTACATCACATCTCGAGATTTTCGGAAACCCTATCGCTACATGATTATACGAAGACATTTTCCACCCTCCATTGTATAAGGCTTTGGAGGTTAAATTTCACTAAACCTTCAAATAACATACCTTTAAAGATATTGAATTATACCTCTATGTTTCTATCAATCTTGAACAGTTAATATCACTGTATCTATTTTTCTTATTTATTAATGCCTCTGTTTTCATTTCATCACTAATGTTTATAATTACTTTGATTTTTTGTTATATTAACAAATTACTACTTTGTCAGTAAATTCAAATGTGTTTCGTTAGTTGACGTATTTGCTTTCAGATTCAATCGTTTCTAAATATTTAATCCTTTTAAAAAGAATATAAATTATTACTGTCAAAATTATCTTCACAATAGGATAGTAAATTTGTTCAACGAGTTGAAAACAAAATATCATGCGCTACCTAATATTCATTTTGTTTTGTTTGTTTTTATTTTAGCGTACTTTTTAAACCATTTATCACAAGTTACTAACTATTTTAATTTATTTGAATCTGCATTAACTGACTACTTGTCTGATAATGAAAAAGGTAATAATTATAAAATCATTTGTTTTTATTTTTCGAAATTTAATTATTTATTCATTAATTCTTTAAATATTCGAATTTGTTTGATGGATCACAACTGAAAAATATTTAATGTTAATTTTGGATACGTATATAATTATAGCAACCTGTATTTTTGAATTGAATGAAATTTCTCCTTTTATGTTAAACCTGTCTTTAGATCATAGTATTATAAAAAAAGGATGAATCTTTGTGTTTTATTTCATCAGTGTTTCTTCACTTCACGAATATTCTAGAATAAACAACAACAAAGATGGAAGAAATATCAAATGTTAATTAAAAAATGGGAAAAAAAAATTTGATGAATAAATGGTGTAGTGACTTAGTGTTTTCGGAGTTCATCCCCTAATCATTAATTCTCGTGAACTAACCCCACTCCATCTACTCCGGTTAATGTACTTTTTTAGTATCAAATGTCCTCATAATTATTGTGGCTCGAAGCTTGGTACAGAAATATGTTCTTTGTAAATAAGTTGAATCAATTAATTAATCTGTGTCTCAGTCGTAGGTATAACATTGACTTATTTATTAAGTTTTAAACAAATTTAAAAAGTTGGTTACATGAAGTTTGTTATTAAAAGAATTTGGATATCATAAGTGCAAGTAACTGATGAAATGAGACTCAAAAGATTCACCTATTTCTATATTTACATATTTTAGATGTACGTTTCACTCAAGCGTAATTGGTACAATTTCATAATTTCATCACGTAGTATGAACCATTTAACGTTTATCATTTATTTGAAGTATATACAACGAAATCTTGTAAGGTTTATGATTTCGGCAATTTACTTTTATTTATCATCTCCCGAAACAAATTCGATATTAGCTAGCGATCTAGTTAGACAAAAAACCTGGACCCACCACTCTCTGAAGTTATAACCTCACAATCACTTCACATCAAATGAAATACCCTGTGATACTAAATTACTTAAACTGATGATGGTCACGTTACAACTTGATTAATTAAATTTCACCAGACACTAAATAATTACTTATATAACATTGGTTACTATTCATTGGCATACTTTGCTGATAAGTAAAAATTAGCACGGAATATATGTTTGCAGTTTCCTGATAACTGTGTACCATGAAATAAAACGTGCAACTATATCGAGTCATTTCATTTAGTTGTTACATTGAGAATTGATCAATATTGTTTGACCATCATTACGTTCTAAACAAACGTGACATTAGTTAGTGTTTAGTCAGTAATAAATGTAAAACATATCGCCCAGACTATATTTGGGGATACCACGTATTACTCTTTACTTCATGATTGTTTTAAGTTTGTATTACAGTGTACTAGAAGTATAATAAAACAATTTTTAATTTACTATTCATTGTATATAAATTTGTATATTTTAACAGGATTGATTCAAACTTCATATTATATTGGTCAGCTAAACTCTCAGTTATCATTACTATCTCTCTTCTCTAAATCGATACATCAATCAAATGTTACAAGTGGTTCTTCATACAGTAAGTGATTGTATTGATATTATTCCTGGTACTTTATCTCATCTAATATTGTTTGTGTCTAACTTAGTGTGTTTTTAGATTCTGAAAAGTATGGATTGATTAAATTCTCCTTGCAAACACATAAGTATACACCTCAATTGGATTTCTCCACGTCTTCGAAAATTAAGTGTATTTTAGCCGTTCAAAAAAGTCATCTGGGTTTCCTTTTTTCTGTTTTCCAAGAAATTTATGTGATTTATTATGCATGCTATAATATTAGTAATGAATGGCGGTCTGCTTGAATAGCTGAACTACCTGTTCCTGCCATGTAGATATTTCAACATGTTATCTGTTTTTGGTTGTTTTAACACATGATTATGTCTGTTAATCATATGGCCTATTCAGGTACGTTAATGAAAAGCTAACAGCCTTTCGCTGTACAATTTAAAAAAAGTACAATCAGAGACGTTGTGGTGGCTGGCAATATTCATTGAAAAGAATGAACATTATTCAGATGTTGATTTCTGAACTGCTCCCATCTAACTGGCAGTCACTAATTGACACGATGGACTGTCTTCAATTCCTACGAAGCCTAAACATGTATCGTAACTGTGGTGTAATTACAATTCCAGACTCCTGGTTAAATGATTTACCAGATGCCTACTCAGCATCACTATAAGATTTCCATATTTGTTGTCAGAAACGACCAAGAACTCTATAGGTTATACTACATAACGAAAATTGAATAAGTTTGATACTGCTGTTTTATAACAAAATATTTAGTAGTGAAATATGAATAATATGTAAAGTCATGTTGAAGTTTGTGTTATATTCTTTTGACAATAAATTAAATAGTTTCATTAAACCATGAAATGAAAGTGGCATAGTTTTAATATTCCGTAAACTTTTAATAAAGATTATCACAGTCCTATTCAAGTATCAATAGTTACCACCAAGATAACTCATTAAAAAAAGTCTTTTGAAATAATTTGGTTTATAATGGTTTAGATAATTTTTTTTGTTAATATTTTGACGGAATTTTGATGAGTTTCAGTTGGCAAATGTACATTCTGTGTATATTGCCTTGATATAGCTATTATAACACAAGCTTATATAAAATAGATAGCATGTGATTAGCAGTGGAATCCAATTCAATACACGTGTTTCTTCTCATGAAATAGACTTATAAAGCTAATTTTGTACTAGTACAGTTATAATCATAATTTATAACAATTCAGTTATTAATGAACTGTCGAACTATTGGCGAGACTATAATTAATGGGCGAGCCAATCAGAAGCCTTTGAGGGATTCCGAGGTCACGGCACCAACTACAGTACTTAATGCTAACGTACGATCGGTTCATAGGGGATTTTATACAAACCGTAATAATTGAGCGGCTATAACAAATAAACCGGCGAGATTATGATTTGTGGACAAACCAATCAGGTATAAGATAACAGATCTCGGATTTTGGCGCGAGTCTTTCATCCATTTAGCTAAATAGAGTTTTGGCACTATACCTGATGTCATTTCGTAATGGAAACCCTATATATAATTCCTAGCCAAGGCAAAATATGACAGTTATTGCGAACTGGATAATAAAAGCACGATTAACACTGGCTGCGGCCAGATACTACAAAATATACGGATGACCGTAGAGCGTACAGACTCCTACATAGGCTTGGTTATGTGCATCGTGTCGTCATTCACAAATGGCATTTTGTGTGCTCAACAACCGGAGTGCACACAAACAATATTGTAGCTATGTGGTCGAGGCTGAAAGAGATTTTGAGACTTTATCACGGCTCCAAAGGCCGACTATTCTGTAGCCGTACGGATGATTTCCTCTACTGCATGGATTACGGTTTTAGAACCCCTGAACTTCTTTCTAACCTTGACAAGTTTTTGAAGCATGTACAAGAGGTGTATCCACTTTATTTCCTTGGTTTTGTATAACATATTTTTACTCTGTACTGACTGTTTGCTGATTGGCTAATATTTCTCAAGGTCGCTTAAGATTCGTTCACAGGTCGTTCATAAATTATAGTCTCGCGGATGTATTGGTTTATCGAACTTATTTTACTAATGTATGGGAGCGCTTTGACCGTTAGGCTACTCGATTTTAAACCATAGAGTATTTGATTCAAATTCCACTCCATCTGTTTCCTTAATTCATTTGAGTAGGATGCCAATATGAAACTGCTCAATTGCAGTCCTAAGTAGCAATAGGAAAATATAAGTAAAACAACACTAGGTGAATTCATACATTAAATACTTCATTTGAAATTTTCCATGAGTTGTTCTTTACATTCTCCCTCATTCTTCCAATTCTCTTTTTTTTATGTTTCCCTTTCTCTTTTCTTCAGTTTAATCTCAACTTTTTGCTCCCAGGCATTACATTTCTGATTTGTGTTGCATACTGCTTATAATACATAGTTGTGGCTCTAAATATATGGTTTTCCATTATTTGTTTAGCATAAGATCTATCTTAGAACTGTCATTTGTTATTTTTTGATAACTAGTTATTTTATTTTATTAACGATGATAAATAGTGTATTTCAAACAAAATTATTGAAATTAGATGTTCCAAGTAGTTTGTCGTTAACATCTTTGATCCCAACACTGGCTGACACGTATTTGCTACTGTGGAGAAACACATCAGCATTACACAAGCCTGATAAGTTCATTGACAGCTGACTAATGAGTTATTCACATTTCCTTTTTTCATACTAACATTATGAAAGCGATTGAACTTCTCTAAAGTTTCGGAATATATATAGAAAATTGTCCATTATTTTGCTTCATAAAACTGTTATGGATATCTGGAGACGATTAAATGGTACTGACAATAATAATTATGCAACAGTGTATTAATCGACGCTACATATAAGTTTATGCCATACAATTTGTTTCCTTGATAATCTAGTTTCGAGTTTTTTTGTTTAAGTGAAAGTTTGTCATAATTTATTCTTATTTTCAAAATTTTTTTACATTATAGACTGTTTACATAATTTAGACTTAATTCAAAGTGAATTTACGGAATTACTTAATGTTCTGCTACAAATCAACAGTATTAATCAGGATCATATAAATTATAATAACGATAAACACAATTATTTCAATCAAATCAAAGAGCATTTATCTAAGATTCATAATCAGTTAAAATCTATGTCTATTGAAGTAACAAATTTATCGAACTCTCTGTCGAATGATTACAATAATGATGACATTATGTCGTCGACTGATGTGATACAGAAAGAAATGGAAACCACTTTTCAGGCTATCACAGCTGCAGAACAGAAATTCCAGGTAATCATCTCTTTTCATCAATTTATGAACTGGGGCTAGCAGTGAGATCCAGATTGCTTGTTCCATCTTGTTCGGGATTTTTCAACTAAGTATGTTTGGATCCCGATGTTGATGTTCATACTGATATTCAAACCCAGTAACTCGCTTTTAAACGCTACACTTTATCAAAAAATATACATTTCGTTTTTTTTAACTAATTAAAATGCTGAATTCAATCATCATTTAGTCACCTCCTTTATTTCCATACTTATTGACGCTCATCAATGAGACATTTCTTTAATACTGAAGATACTCGTTGTTTATTGTTTGAGATTATTATCGAAACTGTTCATTAAAATGAGAATTTATACTTCGACTTAATATGAATATAACTTCACGAAGGACGTAATTTCTCTAACTAACATAAATAATGTATTGATGTTGAACAATGTCACGTAGAGACTCTAGCTACTAATTTCTGACATCCCAATCAATTGGTCATTAGTCCAGTTTAAGCATCCTTGATTTCGTTTATCTTGTATGTATATCGTGGAACTTATTACCATTAGTTATTAAAATTAGTTGGGATTTTTCAAAACTTTAACTTTATATGTTAACATATTCTTTTATTTTAGGGATTAATTGAGAAATCTAAAAAAAATTCAATCAACAATGAAAATCTTCAAGTGAATTCACTTATATTAGATTGTTGTTCTGAATTGTTACTTTGTGTTGGTGATCTAGTGAAACAATCTAAACTGATTCAACAAGAGTTTGAAGTATGTATATCTGTGTATACTTTTATCGATTTGGTTACTTTTACACTTTTGTTTTATATATGATGATTATTATATTTTGATGTAAATCATTTAGCTTACAGATTCTTTTCTTCTTAAATATTTGTGTTTATTAGTTGTTGATTGATAAGTTGACATATTTTAAGTTGATTTGAAACACTGAGGTGTATTGTATTATCCTAATATTATGGTTTTCACCTTATAGGTAATTCGGAAAACACTGAAAAAATGGTATGTTTTAAAATTTCTCATTTAGATGATTTTAGAGAAGAAAACACAAAAGAAACCATAATAGGTTGTAGTGTTAGTTTGACTGGAAAGTTGTCATTATCATTCTCTAGTCATCATCTACGCCTGTTGTGATATGAAGTAGCTTAGAGGATACAATACCACTAAAACATCTACCAGAGCTGCAAATCTCTACTGGTTCTTATACCATTAATTCATTTGAATAGTTAAATTTTGAGTCACTAGCGATTGAGGTGTTTGGAAATTATTTTTTTAAAGCTTTGACGGCGTAAGTTTTAGAGCTTACTAGTAATAGTTATCGTAGGTTTTGGATAAATATATACCGGTTCAAGTTACAATTGGGACAGTACGAGAGAAAACTAACTAGATGTAAGACGACAACACTAACCAAATAATAGGTAAAAACAAGTGTCTAACAATGGTGATCAGTATCCGTCTTATTTTACTGCAGATCAAGTAAAATTGTAATTTCAGGCTATTAAAATCTGGTCCAATAGTTGAATGATTATATATTTCTATGAGAAATAAGCGACATGTCATGAGTCTTGTGAATTGTGTTTGTATAAAGAAGTTTAGCGTTATGATAAACTTGGGAGCCTGTTACATCTGAACGAAGAATAAATGAATGGTAACTGCTAGGGATTATTTATTGAATGTTATTACGTATATTCTTATCGGATAGCTATTAAGTATCTACATTATATGTATATTCATATTCCTTTTATCAATAACTTTCATCTGGTGTATTGGTTACTGTTATACGATTTACGATTCTTAATTTATTCCCAATTTATTAGTTAATATCTCCCATACTTAGGACCAGTAGTCATAACACAGCCGTCACGTTTTGACTTATATTGCTTCTTAGATGGTGGTTGGAGGTAGTCAACAGGAAACCCTGGACCCGGGTTTCGTGCTACTTGGCACGCGTCAGCAAGGTGTACCTGTAATCTTGAGGGAACTGGTGCTCCCTGGCGGATTCGATCTCGTGTCACCCAGCTTCACAGTCAGAGACGTTACCACTGAGCTATCCGAACACCAGTTCCCTAAAGATCACAGGTACACCTTGCTGACGAGTGCCAAGTAGCACGAAACCCAGGTCCAGGGTTTCTTGTTGACTACCTCCAACCACCATCTAATGTCAATACATAGTGCCCGCAATGTCGAGTCACCTACACTGGTGGCCACATTGCAACATGATCATAGCATTCGATCTGCACTAATAAGAACTAGACAAGCATGACATTGATCACCACCTAGTGATCAATCAATTGTGATTATAATGGTTCTTCACCTGATGTCAATCTACGTTAAAATTATTTTGTCGCTAAACAGTTTAGAACTTTACTCTTCACACATATAACCTTCATTCTCATTTAAAGCGATATGTGTTATCGTTTAACCCGGCAAAACTTAGTGTTGTGTATGTGCCTAATTTTTCTGTACATAACTAAATTCTAAGAACTTTCCCAAAGTAAACGTTTCAATCACCATTTTGAACAGCTTAAACCATGCGCGTCAAATTAGATCTCTTATCCTTTAGCCCGTTTTCAAGAATATCTCAAGAGATTTTAAAAAATATTTGGCATTTCACATTGGATCAGCGTTAGTTTGAGCCACAGCTAACTTTCCATGTTTTCCTTGTCTCTTCAGCTGTTCGGGTTAGACATTTATTAGTAATAGCTAGAACATATGTTGTCGGCCTTTTTTTATTGTTTTAGGATTTCGAGTTGTGTCACGCGTAAACACATCTTGAGATATATTTGTGGGGTAATAGTAGTTTATTAAACTGTTTGATAACATTCGACAATAAAGGAAGACCAGGCTTTTAAGGATAAACGACGCCGTTGAATTACAGCTAAACATAAGTCAATTTAAGAGCCATCAACCGTTAAAATGACTTTGTAAATGTATCATATGTTTTTTTTAAGTTATTGCTGTTATTCAAGTTAACCGAATTGTCGTGCGTAGGTATATTTAAATTAATTTAATATCTTATTATACATCTATTCTACAGTTGAAGCAGATTCGTTTAATGAATAATACAAAAAACTCGTACTTGCTCTTTTTAACGTAGTCTTTATTCTCTGCCTATTATATGAATTATTCTTTCCTAGAATTCTCCAACGTCCGTTGAGTTTTATAAACCTTATAATCGTTGGACCAAGGGTCTTTTATCGGCTGCTAAATTTGTCGGTGCTAGTGCTAATGTCATGGTGTAAGTTGCTCTGTTATACTGTATACTTCTAGTTTTCTTACTCAATCAAACTAAGCGAAACCTCGTTATTTATGCCTCTAATCTATGTTCACTTTTATTATCTAATTAGATTGTGCAAACAAATTCTGCTAATTAATTAACATTTTTTAAATAGATCCGAAATCTGTTTATCCGGTAAGAAATGTGTTATAATCAAGACACTTGAGATAGATCTAGGTAGCCTCTAGTTTTCTGACAACAGCCTTTTGGCAACTTAAAGTAGCTACTGAAATTATTGTTCATTTCCAGTCAGATTAATTAAATTGCGGAATCATAACTTTTCAATATAGGGTTCGACAATAAACCGTTTCAAAGTCCGTCATAAATTAGCAGTGTATTATACCTTATATTGAAAGCGTAGTGAATAGTCTTCCTCTGTAACCAGTAACATTTTATTTTCAGTTTAAGTGGAAATTATAAGTAATCAAAACTAACGTTAATATAAGGGAACTTCGTGAAGCTAAAAGCTTGATATTTCGAAAAAAGAAAGATTTCTGTATCCCATTAATTTAATTGGGGTACGCAGACTGTTCGATTCATAATATTCAATGTCATATTGTCCAGTCCTTAATCCTAATTGAATTCTGTCGGTTACCTTTTGGTACATCTGCTGTGGTAATTAACTCGACATGATGATTTAAGTATTTTTTGGTTTCTGTAAATCATCAGTATGTCGTGAACCAGTGTTTCGTTCCAGTAAACGCTCATCAGCAAGGTATATTCAAAACTTTTAGGGAGCTGGCGATCCTTATGAGACTAGCCTAATTACCAGTTGCCGCGGTTCGTAGCTGTTAGGTATGCAGAAGAATGTAACAATAATTATCGTGTTAACTCGAATGGTGTCCTTGGACGTTAAATGGACATTTCCTATTGGTCGATGTTTATTTCACTCGTTAAATATTGTGTAAATGTTGTTTTCTATTTTATGGTACGATGTGGTTTGTTTGGTTAGTATATAAATCGAGTACGTCTGAAATACAATGATTCATAACTCAGAGGCTGTGACTTACGTTCTAGACTCAACTGGTTGGGTTAGACAGGGAAGCAGGGCCAATCAGGGCACTAGGTCGTCCATACGTGTTTTCCGTGTCACTGTGATCGATCGATAAAACGCTGCTCCATCAAACCTGCAGTCTCACACGTTACAACAGTAGCGTTACCATTAAATAGTTAGGGATGTTTTTTACCTCGTATAAAATTAAGAAGCTTATACAATCATTGATCAATTAGTAGTAACCAATGTTTTATTTATTCGTTAATGATAATCGAGTTCTGCGTTATAAATTTGATTATGTCTTCAACTTACGTTTACCAAAACTAAACTGACATTGTCATTAACACTACTTTTAGTCTGTTTCATGATCGAATGGTTAAATAATGTGGGCATCTGATTTGAAACCATTCTACATGATCTAATCTAGACTTCTGAAATCCGTATTAAGAAAAATTCAAGAGACATGGGTTACTGTTATATTTTCACATTAGCTTTTATACAGAACTTACGGTTTCTTAATACGTTATCTTTTCAATACTATAGTAACTTTACCACAATCAATAAAGTTATTATGGAAAGTTGCGAATTTTCTAAAGAAAAATAATATGTCTTTATTAAAAGAGATTATCGAATCTCTGTCTACAATTTTGTAATCAGTACTTTCGTCTACATCAGTCACTCTTCAATGATGATGGTGTTAATCACATAATCCCAACGTCCACTGAATTAAACAACTTCCTCGACGGTGTAGAATGCTCATTCACAATGATTTCCGGATTTTCTGTGGCGTTTATACTAGAATAGTAATTTTTCACTGCTTACTCTCTCAATATTTATCATGAAACATCTTCATCATTATACTATTTATTTTCTATAAAGATGTTTAACTGTCGTTTTTTACATAAAAAATGTTTTTAAACAGTGAAATAGCTGATTCCATAGTTTGTGGAAAAGATGTAAAGTTAGAACGCTTAATTGTAATTTCACAAGAGATAGCTGCTAGCACAACTCAATTGGTTTATGCTACTCGTGTAAAAACTACTTCACAATCTGAAATGTTCAATAAATTACAGTTAACTAGTAAAGAAATATGCAAGTGTACTGGAAATTTGATTGCATGTGTAAAAAAGGCAGTTGAAGCAAAACATATAGAAGGTATGACTTTTTGAGTTTTTTTTACAAAATCTCACTTATATATTGCATAACAGTTCCTGACAATTCTACCAAGAAAATTAGGTTAAACGAGGATACTACTGAAAACGGATACTAGAATTACATTAGGTGTTCAGATCATCAGTGATAGATGGTTTGATTTTCCAGTTTAAGGAAATCTAAGCTTCTGAATTAGTAATAAAATAAACAATAAATTATTTCAATAGTTGAGAGCATGAGTCTGCTGAAGCTAGACCACCATGTAAAACCTGGAAGCAAATAAATTATCTATAAAACTACAATCAGACAAATAAATTGAGAATTCTTAAAATGTTTATTTATTTACTTCATAGAACCTTAGCATTTGTAAATGAAACGTGATATTTTTTGGTGAATCAAACTGATTGATATAAATTCTTTTAGTTAATATATAGATTGACAGAATCTTTAATGGTATTGACCGAATAAATGTGTTTAAGATTATACGACCACAAATTTAAGTCATCTGACAAGTTAATAAAACGCATTATGTAATGAATTTTCTATTTTGTTCGGGATTAAAATTGCTCAAAAGTACATACTGTCAACTTACAGAATGTAAAAATTGCATTTCTTTTTGATGACATTTTGAGGGATTGTATGAAAATAAGTTCACAAGCATCTTCCATTTGTGATTATCTCACAATAACGTTGGTGATTATACAACTTCTCCGGTTCTACTAGTCATGAATTCCTGCTATTCATAACGCTGAATACAAATAATAACGGTGCAACTTGGTAATCAGGTACCATTTCTAGTTCACGACTTTATTAAACAACTTTATGTCAGTTAGGATAGCCGGCTGATCTACATAGAACACATTGTAAATCCCGAACTAAAATTTAAATGTCCTTGAATCATTGAGTAACAAGTCTGTTGTCCCCTTGAATTAAATATTAGATGAGGTGAGAAAACAAAAGATTTTTCAAAGTTGTAGATACACATTTTTGTAAGATAGGATTAGTGAAAAATTTTAAATACACGCGATTCACAACTAAGTCATCCCAACCACTTAAAATACTGAACTGAGAAACCACCTTTTAGGCTGAATTCTTATCAGGGCAACAAATACTCAAGAGTCTCGAATATAAAATTTCCTATAGTTAGATATTTTAATGTACACATAGGGAATATTGCTTTAGACGTTATTTTATATTTTTATAATACTGATACATTTAAAATAGTTTTGTTGATAAATTTAGATAAGACAATGAAAAGACAACGTTTATTAGAACTATGTTGTATATTACCATATATATTGTCTGTTGTCTGGTTTAATTAACAGTCCACAGTTCTAGCTTTTTAATAGTTCAACGAGACAGGAACAAGCAAACTGTTTAGGAATCTCTATCTACCATTGAAACGGTACTACAGCGTGTATTAATAGATTATCAGAATGATACGGATAACAGATAAGTAAGTGGGTTAATCTAGCGTTAATCTGTATTTTAGTCATTCATTATAGATCACCTGTGTATGTATTTAACTTATCATAAAAGCTTGGCACATTGTACCTGAAGAATTCTTCAATACCTATTCGATGTATTGATATCAGATAAGCGTAGGATTTCAGAAACGAGAAGTTAAATAAATTAATCATCTGTGTAACCAGAAACTTGGATTTCTTATTAATATTGACTCTCAATAAACGAATGAATAATTATTCTAGCCTTTAACCTATTGAAGCAAATTCTAATTACTGATGTAATTCATAAAAATTAATTTATGATATGGTTTGAATAAATACTCAGTATCCTACCTGCTGTAGTGAACGTAGACTTAGCAGGGGTGACAAATATATTGTGTAATTTAAAATTACAGAGTGCCTTCGTAAAATATGCAAGCTATACATGAAGTACATTATTTGCACATCTTGCTTTGGTTGTCCCTTACATGCTTCATGATTCTTTCAATTCTTTTGTTATTACAATTACTCTCTGTTAACATTCCTATTCTCTTCAATTCAATTTTCTCCATCTTTCGCTGGCAGGCATTCCATTAATGATTGATGTTACATACTACTTATATCTGTTAACATAGGTAGCATATACCATACTATTACTATAATTATAGCATATACTCTAAACCCATTTGCTTTCAGATTACTGATTGGAAATCGTTTTCATGTTAGATTCGACTTTTTCCTGAAATTCAAATAATCATTCTTTTGTTGATTTTATTACCATATTCTGCTCATACTGTTTATTTTTCTTTTAAAAATACTTTAGAACTTGATTTTAGTAGCCTTACACTAACTCAAGCAAAACGTATGGAAGTTGAACTACAAGTGAAAATTATTGAATTAGAAACATCGTTAACAAATGAACGACAACGTTTAGCTAAATTAAGAAGAGATAATTATCAGTTATCAGCTGAAGTAGAGGTAAATTGTTGATGTTTTGTATTGTTTTAATAACTATTCTCTATAAATATAGTTAGATTTAAAATGTACTTAAAAGTACAAATTAAGAGTATAATTTCAAAGTACTGAGTTGTAGTGAGAGAGTAGTCACATCAGTTATTATTGCTACTAATTAAATGTTTATTTCATCACAGAGCATCTGTTTGATTCATTCCAGATCAACTACAGTGAATCAAAAATTGATTCAAATAGTCATTTTACTTATGTTTATTTATGAAGAAAGTATAGTACAATCTAATCACATATTTGTATTTTGCCTTATTGTCTTCTTTTGTATTACTGTCTGTCTGATATGATTTCTAGTACTATAAATATCTTACCAAGTAATCTTGTGATCAGATTATTCCCTATGTATTGGACTAATATGTATCACACCGTCACCTTAACTTTATTATTATTGGATTGTCTACAGAAAGAATAATTTTATCCAGTAGGTTTTCATGTACTTGAGATCATCTGAATTACCGATCAAATACTTTTAGACGTATTGGAATCTCAGCATTCCTAAACTTTATTTCGAAACTACCAGTCATATGAAAAGAAATAGTCAAAGAAAGTAGATGTAAAGTCAAAATATGGTTTAGAACATCAGTGTTTTGTTTTTGTTTTTCAGTGATATTTATGATTTTGAAGCTATGCAAAGCATTTGAGTTTCATTTCTTTCCATCTGTAAATGATAACATTTGTGATACCGTCTTACAGTAAATTGGGTATTTTTTTTAAAATGAAGTACTTATTAAATTAACACTCATAAGCTTTGTAATTGGTCCTTTTATTGTTGAATAATCTCGGAGATATCTTTTTCTTCAATATTCAAATGATAACAACCAATGTTAGGTAAGGCAAGTGATTTGGAAAAACTCAAACGTTGACAGGGTTTAATTTGAAATAAAAACAGTTTGAATGGTATAGTAGATTTCTTCAGAAAAATTTCCGCTACTAATCCACTTTTCAATAATTTGCGTTTAATATGGCAAAAAGTTTGATTTCTTCACATTTCAATAATGCAATGAGAAGACTAAGGTTATCGGAATTATGTGGTTTATTTGTGTGATACATTTAAAACAATCTGATCACACATATAATTGTTAAGACATATAAAACGTCAACTAGACAAATTAAAAGGTGGGCGGAAACAAAGACAATGATAACGTGCACAAAAGCAATGTGAAAACCACATTGAATAATAAATTAGTATTACCAAGGTATATTAAGAGTAAGAACAAATCGTTTTTGAACATATAAAGGGGGTTTAAGTTTTCGTATAGACAAGGCTTCAATAAACCTGAGTATACGCCCTTGAAAACTTTTGTACAAAACTACAAAGGCTGACTTGATATAAACCTTATGACCAGTCTCAATCAAATGTTCATCAATGAAGAAAGATATTTTTCTATCCTGTCATATTTGACCATTGGAATTAATTGGTTTTTTTGCAGTCATTCAGGTACGTGTTCAGCTCTTCATTTTATGTAAGATAAATATGCTTTGGACTTGTTTTGAGTGCTTATCACCTATAACTATGGTGTCATACACGTACCGCTTATACAAATACATCTTTTGAATTGAGTCTTCAACTAGTTTTTCCACATATCCCATAAACACATCAACCAACAGTTGTCCTAAAGGACTACCCATAGTTATGCCATCAATCTGTCGAAAATGCTCACCCTCAAGTGGATTTCACATTGTCAGCAAATAATAATAATAAATCTTAAGAGATTTTACAGAAAATGTCAATGGGAGGGTATTTAATAACATATAGTCATACAAAATACTAAGAGGTACATTTGTAAATAAAGCGTTTACATCACAAGAGCACATTGCTTTAGCTTTTGTATTGATGTCCACTAAGTACTTAATTAATCCAAATAAGCCTTTCAAAGAATACTCAAAAAAATTGGCTTCGGATAAGGTTTAATACTTTTGTCAATCATTTTGGAAGATTATATGTAGGTGGCCGATACATTGATAGAATAGGATGTATGGGGGTATTGGGCTTGTGGATTTTTGGTAGTCCATATAGATTAGGGTACACCTAACCCATAGGTTTTAACAAATTATATTTCTCTTTGCTAACTGCATTCCTGTTAAGCACTTTTATACGTTCGAGTTGCCTTTCCTCTCTAATTTACGTAATCCACCGAAGTCAACATCAGTCATAAATTTGCTTTGATTACTGAGAATGAGTTACATTTTATTTTTGTAATAGGACTTATTATAATGATACCTGACCCTTTATCAGGTTTTACCATAATAATACCAGCATTATATGTGTAGTCAGAATGTTCGAGGTGTACTGCGCAAATATATCGCATAATCCTGATAACCTTTGTCTTCTCATTGCATTATCGAAACTTATCGAAGGGAATAATTGTCTTATACTTCACATATATTAATTGCTTTATTTCCAAACAAAGTACATAATTATATTTTGAAAACACATAATGTTAATTATTCAGTTGTGAAAGAGCGATAACTTTTTTTAAAAATGGTTCCGGAGGCTGTTATAAACTTTCAGTAATGAAATCACCAACCCTACATACATGAAAATAATTTGCTATACCGCAAAAATTAGAGATATACGGTTGATTTGTTCGAAGATAAATGTTTTAACATTAGCTGGAAAATTAATGTCAGTGAAGCTCTGCAGAGAAGTGAATTTGACCTGTTTCCATCAGTAGGTGTAGAACGTAACTATATCGAATTATATCGTTCTGTGTACCATGTAACACCTACCTCCTATAGGTACTTGTTGAAAATAAGCCAACTTTACTCTTTTGCGCACATTCACTCAGGATGGTTATCCTATTAACATCAAGATGCTTATCAAGTATTGTTAGGATTACTATTCCCTGACCTAGGACGGATACACGTCATCGTCATCATCGCAGTTGGGGTATTATTACTTTATGTAAATACTTCACTTTGCTTTTGTTCTGCAAATTTACTTCACTGCACCTCCATTCTTTTAATTATCTTCATATTTTCTGTAACTTTTATCTCTCAATCCATCAATCTACTTACGTGGTAGGATTTCTTGTTTGAAGTAATGACATGCATGAATGTGAATGACTAGCTCTTTTTTTGAAAATTTAATTGTTATTACGTACAAATTGGGGTAAATAAAAGTTTTTGTTCAATAACATCAAGTGAATTGCTTAGACTAGTAATCTTTTTTAGTGTGATCACCTTGGTTATTACTTTTTTTGAAAGAGTCCATTAATTTTCTTGCCAGAATGTATGGGCGTTGTTTACATCACCATTATTCGTGATAATATGCTTATTTGATGTTTGTTAAAAGCATGATTTATTTGTTTGTTCATTTTGTACATTACAGTAATACAGGGTTATATTAGCTGTCTGCTAGTCTAATTAGTTGATAGACAATTTTTGCAACCCGAGGATTACCCTAAAGATATTTTTACATTTGAAAACCAATACGTCACTTGTAAAGCAACTTGAAACTAGCACGACGTAATCGAATTCTCAAGGTCTCTATTGACGTATATTCCTAATCCTATCTGATATTAGAACCAGAATCTTTCAGAACTTTCAGGTTATGAAGGATTTCAGAAAGCATATCAGTTTCAACTCTTTTTCCAGAAATGTTATCCTTGTCGTAATGTAATTTGTTTATGCAAACGTCTTGTCAATATATGCGTATGCACTAACCCGTTTGTAAATAATTAGCAAACCTAGTTATAGAGTATATAGAATTTTTAATCATGTTTTATTTTTATTTTATTCTGTCCAAATAAATTCTTTACATGGATACACATGTCTGCCACTACCAGTTGATCAATGAGAGATAATGAAAAACTCCCAATGAAAATTTAACAAATAAAGCAGTCTACAAACCTACCTTCCAAATTAAATGTAAATAGATTTATTTCAACAGCTTATCTACCTACGTTATTATCATTAAAATTTGTTATCTTACTACTAATACCACTCCAGTAATCAGTTAGTAATGCATACCTAAGTCTTTCATTATTCAAAATAACTCCCCCCATTATTGTGTGTATCAACGGCACAAGGAAGAGTGACATGAAATCGTATATTCAACTTTGTACTTGATTTTCATCATTTTGTTATTGTATGATCTCATATTGATTATTTAGTGACATGACAGTTTTCTTTCTGCCTAGAGAATGGAAGAATGCTTTTTCTCTCGACTTCGTCCCGATCTTTTTTCTCTTCCTTTCTTCTAGAAAAATAGAATAAATAAATGACTTGCCATACCTTTTTACTTGTCTATTCATATTTGTTGTGCTCTTATTCCTCAAGCTTATTTGAAAATATTGATTTCTCACCCGTCGTAACACGTCTTGCGGGACTGCTGAACTTTCCCGGTTATTTTACAGCATGATAATATCTATTTGGATCGACAATATATTATTGCGTGATTTCTTTCTGATTGAATGCTTATTGTTACCATTATTATTATGCTAAACAATGATATAATTGCACTGACTGAATTGTTTTAACAGCACACCTTATCTATACTTTCACTTATGGATATGGATAACTCGAAGATTGGGATTAGTAATTAAAGAATATATTTCCTATGTTTTGGATACTAATCTCTCTGTAGTTATATTTGGATATTGATTTTGAAACAAAGATGGATCTGGTTGTGTATTTTATAGCTCATCGGTAAATGGCGTTAGAACTAGTACAATGGAGACAAAAGTGTTTACGATGGATTCCATTTGTGTCAGCTAGATTTTGTAGTTTAGTTTTGAAGTGCTAACTCTATAACTTACAGGTTTCTAATATCAACTGTGTATTCCCCGATGGTTTTTAACAAGTGTCATTATCAACCTTACCAAACAATTAGACAAGCAGTGCTAGTTATTTTTTTTAACAAATAATACGACTTTCTCCTGACATCACTCTTCACTTTATCTCCCCTTTGGAAAATGGCTTTATATTTTGCCCGATGAAAGAGCATGTGTTTCTAACATGAAATGAGGTTGGGTTCTGCTAAACTAGAACCAAAGCTATTAGATCTGAACATCGTCTAGACATCAATTAATGACTTGGATCCCCCATTTACTGACAAACTCGTGAAGGGTTCGTTTTATTTTACTAATTAGCGAACTATCACCGTATTTTATTTAAAATTGTTCGTTCAAACTATTACCAGTCAATAACTTAAAACTGTTCAGTCTCGACAAAACTAGTTATAACAATCTACCATGGGAAATGAATCTCTTGTGTAAAGGAATATGGATGTCTGGAACAATGACCCAGTACAATGTTGATCTATAAAGGATAGTGTAACCATTTCATCACTACTTGAGTTTATCATTTGAATAAAAACAGTACTGGTCTGATGAATTCATTAGGAACTAAGTGTGGATGAACCGGTATTGAGAATTGTACAGCTTTGATATTTTTTGAGATACAACAAATATGAATGGTTCTAAAAACAACGTTCTTCACTATCAAAAGTGAATGCCACATTTCCACTACTTTAAATTCAACAAAATCTAATTATTCATGAATATCGCATTGTTTGGAAACCAAACTTAATCGTTTTTAGTAACTAGTATTGTACAGAATACCAAATACGTAGGAGGCAGCACCAACTTAAGTACACTCACCGAACAGCAGTTACGGATTATTATTACAAGGTATTTTAAGACCTCAGTAAGGGATCTGTTAAACAAAACGACCAATTCAATGAGTCGTAGCATCAGTCCTTGTGAAAGCTAGACAGGGTAAGTAAACAGTTAAGCTCGCAGGATACAGCAATATTTTACCAACATACGACAGTAAATACTAGGAAGTATGTGCTTTACGCGCATTTATCAGTGGTCAAAATAGACTTAGTTGGTTAGGGGTCAAACGAAAAGGTCCATTTTTTAAAATTTACATAAATCTAGTCTGACAGTAAAAGCTGACGGCAAGGACACCATCTTAATCTTTATCTCCTGTGACTCCGGTTTCAGCCTAACAAACTATCAAAACCAGCAACAATAAGATGAATACAAAAATGACTACCATCTCTGCCAGAATATTAGTTTTTTACGCACCTTACCTTGCACTTTGGACATCCAGATGTCGTTCAAAATGTTTTTAGTGGACCTGACTCTAATTAGATCGTACGAATGTTTATTACCTAACCTCGTACACAATTATCGACTTAAATCACGTTAGTCAATAACGAAATTTAGATAAGTCAATTAACGAGAATGGTCTTTGAATACATGTATTTTGTATGTAAAGTGAATGTTATAGAACAAAGCAAAATGACGCGCAGGAGAGATGGCTGGTAAGCCAGCTCATTTTTAGCCAGGCGTTACTCAATATTTATAGGCAGACAAAATAAACTACAGACATGGGGTATGAAGTGTACACACATATACGCTCATATGAAAACAGTCAAGACTGATAATCGAATAATTAACAAGGTCAAAATATAACTCAAGTAGAATGAATATATTGGGCTGTCCGAAAGTTAGAATAAAGTATATGGGCTTAACACAATAACTGACACTACATGTTTATGTCAGTCAGCTGAATACTAAGCTAATCTAAGATTAATATAATCTAACTTGAGGGATCTCTTAGGAGATGCAGTCCCGTGGTGGCCGGTGACCACTAATCGGTTCATACGCCATTTACTCCCTCAAGATTGTGGAGCCCATGTGCACTATTGGTTTGGAATCATGGTTTTCCGACTCCCCAAGGTGGACCCTCCATATCCACCAACCCGGTTAAAGCGCCGGACACTCGCTTTTCGTCCTCTCAATTTCGTAAACAACACCGCCGCCGCGATAAGGCACTGAGTAGGACTTCCCTAGCAGTGGCTGTGTACGCGTGACCATGTGAGAGCATTTCGAGAGGGAGGGCTAACTCCCCTCAACCTCAACTGTACAGGTACATTTGGGGGCCACTAAGATAGTGTACCCGTTAATCGTCAGAAGCAAAAATTCCAAAGGAAGCCCACCTGACTCACGGCAACGAAAACCATGATAGTAATTCCCCCTACTGTTTAGCCTGTTAATACCGACTTATTTATTAATTACCTCAGTTTCTTTTTATTATAATACACAGTTTACATATTATTCGGGATCAGAATATATGGTAATATTTTTGTATTTCACCTGAGTATTTAAAGGACAAAGTGAACTATCCTCAAGTGGATCGTATGCGATTACTTACATCCATCAGAGCTGTTTCCAGAATGTCATCGATGGCAAAGTTGAAGAGAAATGGTGAGATTGGGCAACCCTGTCTAACCCCACTGCTCGAATGGAACAATGGAGAGAGGTGGTTGTATGCCCTCACTCTGCCTGAGGTGTTTGTGTATAGGGATTTTAGGATGTTAATAAACTCCTCAGGCACACCCTTCTTCAATAGACAATCCCAGAGAACAGTCCTGTCCAACGAATCGAAGGCAGACCTGATGTCAAGCAAACACTACGATTGTTGGCCTTTGATAAGTATGACGGTGTTCTAACATTTGGCGGAGGGTGAAGATATGATCAATACATCCTCGACCAGAACGAAAACCAGCCTGCTCCTTGCGAGTCAATCTTTCTCGGGTTTTGAACAACCTACGAAGTATGACGGAAGCCAATAGCTTGGACGCAATCGGAAGTAGACTTATCACCCGATAGTTGTTACAGAAACTACGTGAACCCATTTTAAAGATAGGGACAACAATAGAGGGAGGGAGAGCCCACTCTACTCTCGGCCATACCAGGGCATTTGGGGGTCCCTGCTATGTCAAAGCTAATATTTTAACAAACTGTTGATACAAATCGCCTTAATTATATAGAACAACGAACACCCCACTAGGCATAACAAGTGGATTGGAGTAACAACTAATCTCAAAAACCAAGCAAAATAATAAATACTAACTTAAGAAGTTGGAGACAGTATGAGGGATTCCTCTAGGGAACACGCTTTCGTAAATAGAAATGGGAATAGGCTTTAATGGTTCAAACAGTAGTCACGTTCTCCTAAGTGGACATTGTTTGAGGAAAAAAACATTCGGCTTCCAAAAAATGACTATTAAAAAATATGAAACATTGTTGCAAACGACTGTAGTAATAAAAAGTCAGTCAATAAACACATTTCCATGATGACAGAGAACGACACACACTTAACAATGAAATATTGACTAGTAATATGTACTGTAACATATCCAATTTAATTTAATTTGGCTTTACATACACAGGGAGGTATCATAACCTCAGTGAAAGCGTAACAAATTGACATAATTTGCAACTACAGTTCACCAACAAAGTCAAGAAAATACTTTGCGTATTTTTCATCATAAACAATATGTACAATGTATAAAAGAGCGATTTAATCCTTCCGATCTCTTTTACGATGAGTAGTGTCACGATTACTGATATCTGTCCCTGAGGTACCTTCACCTGGGCGTTTTTCGGCCTTTTTGACTTTGGATAAGAATTTACTAAGATTGAAGGGATCTTCCTCGTCTCGCTCAAATTGAACTGGACCATCCAAACGACGTGAATGATCAGTTCCAGAAAATTCACGATCAGGAACAAAGCGTTTAGTTTCTTAAGTGCATCAAGGTCTGTCCCATATGCATCAGTATCTTTTTGGCGTGGGCGGTATATATGGGTTACTAATTCAGAATCACCTCTCCATGGCTTATCATAAATGTTGTACAAATCATCCGCACCTAAAAAGAAGTAGACAGTTGATATGATTACTTACCTCCTTCAAAACCCGAGTCTAAACCTTTAGATTGGTTGAAAAGTCTTTGATCGAATAAGCTCTCGCTTGTTGAGTTAAACCGCGGATTTGGAAGTCCAAGTGCAATTTGTTC